GAAGAAGAAGAAGAAGAAGATGGAGAGAAGAAGGGGTAGGAAGAAGAAAAAGATCCTGCAGAGAAGAAGAAGAAGGTGGCTGGACAAAAACAGAAGGGGTAGGAAGAAGAAAAGAGAGAAGAAGAAAAAAAAGAAGAAGAAGAGAGGGTGGCTGGACGGAAGGGAGAAAAGAAGAAAAGAAAGAAAAAAGAGGAAGAAGAAAAGAATAAGAAAAGGAAAGGGGCGAAGCAAAATGGAAGAAAAAAGAAAAAGAAGAATAAATGAAGTGGGTGGGGAGGGTATTTGAGTCTTTTTAACTTATAAAACTTACTAAAAAAGGAAATGAGAAGTTTATTTGTGGACATCCCAAATAGGAAAGTGGGAAGATTAATTATGGACGGAGGGAGTATATGTACGCACTTCTCTCTATTTCTCTGTTCCAATCTAGCTGGCTAGCTATTCTGTTTTGTTTTGTTTTTCATTGATGGAATAGAAGCAAAGAAATTTATCAAGTCAAATTAGGGATATACTTACATTAGTACAGAACATATCACAGAATCTTCATTCCTCTATCTATCAGTATCAGTATCAGTTTTTGCTTCTCCCATTATATACTGGAAGGAGTATTATTTCAATTTCCACCATCACATACTAACATACATACATACATACATTAATTACCCAATAATCAACTGTTTCTTGAATGGATTCATTGCAACATTGTATGTAATGCTAGAGCTATCTGTCTACATAATCATATCTTCTAAATTACTCGGCGCAGTTCATTTGTATGTTGCTGCTGCTGTTTGAATCTAGATCACAAAGGGCTGTGACGACGAACCAACCGATATATAGATAGAATGGAAGGTGCAGAGACGTTTATTGTACCGCTCCGCGGGGTAAAAGATGATCTCAGAGGGAGGCTCTTGTGCTATAAACAAGACTGGACAGGCGGCTTTACCGCTGGCTTCAGGTCCCTCCCCCTCTCTTTCTAACCTCTCTCTCTTTCTCTCTCTCTCTCACTCTCTCTCTATATACAAAAGATTAGAGACACATATAAACAAGATTGGAAGTTATATGTATGGTATATGTATGGTATGTAGGATATTAGCCCCCACCACATACATATTCTTTGCTTCAGCAATCCCAGTCATCTCATTTGGAGAGCAGCTGGAAAGGAATACAGATGGGTTCATCACCGCGGTTCAGACCTTAGCTTCCACTGCACTTTGTGGGATCATACACTCCATCATTGGAGGCCAGCCTCTCCTCATCCTCAGCGTTGCCGAACCAACCGTGCTCATGTATACCTTCATGTACAACTTCGCCAAACACAGACCAGACCTCGGCTCTAAACTCTTTCTCCCTTGGACTGCCTGGTGCGTCCTCTCCTCTCCTCTCTTTCATCACTCCATTCCTTAATTTCCATTGCTACATCTTCTTCTACCTCAATTGGTGCCCGTATATAGAGTTTTCTATTTCAGGGTATGCGTTTGGAGCTCAATTTTGCTGATCCTTTTGGCAATCCTCGGAGCATGCTCTATTATCAACAGGTTTACTCGTCTGGCTGGGGAGCTGTTTGGCCTCCTCATTGCAGTGCTTTTCTTGCAACAGGCCATCAAAGTATTAACAACATTAGGGATTTTTTATTTTTTTTGTGTTCTAATCATATGACGCTTGATTAGAAAGATTTAAGGGCTGCATTCATGTGGTGGATGATTTTTTAGGGACTTGTGGATGAGTTCCGTGTACCCGAAAGAGAAAGCCCGAATTTAACAGAGTACCAACCTTGTTGGAGGTTCGCAAATGGGATGTTTGCTTTGGTTCTTTCTTTTGGTCTTCTCCTCACTGCACTAAAGAGCAGAACAGCAAGGTCTTGGAGATATGGAGCAGGCAGCATTAGAGGGCTCATTGCAGATTATGGTGTTCCGTTGATGGTTCTCATGTGGACAGCTGTCTCTTATACACCCAGCCACAGCATTCCAGACGGCGTGCCAAGGCGCCTATTCAGCCCTAATCCGTGGTCACCCGGTGCATATGACAACTGGACAGTCATTAAGGCATATGCCCACTTCTAAGAATTTACCCTCAACTGGTGTTATAATAATAAGTTGTCCTCAACTGGTGGGTGTTTTAATAACACTAAGCCTCCAATATGATGCATGCAGGACATGACAAGTGTGCCGGTGGTTTACATAATAGGTGCTTTTATTCCAGCAACAATGGTGGCAGTGCTGTATTACTTTGATCACAGCGTGGCATCGCAACTAGCTCAGCAAAGTGAATTCAATTTGAGGAAGCCATCTTCTTATCATTATGATTTGCTTTTATTGGGTTTCATGGTACACATACATATATGACATTATTCGGCTTCAACATCATGGATCGAGTATCAAGTGAATGGATATATAAGGTCGTTACTGTGGCAGGTCATGATTTGTGGTCTCCTTGGAATCCCCCCATCTAATGGTGTCATTCCACAATCTCCAATGCACACTAAGAGTTTGGCTACGCTGAAGCATCAGGTAGGAGTGGACTCTGATCCATATATATATCTCTAACTTAGCTTGCGTATGCAGTACACTTACACTTGCAGTGCAGTTGTTTATCTTGAAGTGATTGATCAGTTGGAGTGGTATAAATGCAGTTGATGCGCAGTCGACTTGTTGCAACGGCAAGGAGATGCATGAACGAGAATGGGAGTTTAGGTCAAGTGTATGGACGGATGCAAGAGGCATATCAGCACATGCAAACTCCACTTCATTACCAACAGCCATCAGCTAGTAATAAGGTGAGTGATGCACACAAACACATATACATATACATATGCATCTTGTGGTTTCATTTATGACTGAAAACTCAAGCCCAATCCGATGATTAACCTTGAGGGTGAGTGAGTGTATGGGCAGGGGCTGAAAGATCCAAATGTGCTGCAGCAAATGACTGGTAGAAATGCAGTGGGACTTGATGAGGGCAGAGAGTTTGATGTAGAGAAGAACATTGACGACTTACTGCCAGTCGAAGTAAAAGAGCAGAGGGTGAGTAACCTTTTACAGTCAATGATGGTGGGTGGGTGTGTGGCTGCCATGCCACTTCTCAAAATGATCCCAACCTCTGTACTTTGGGGCTATTTTGCATTCATGGCAATCGAAAGCTTGCCAGGCAATCAATTCTGGGAGCGGATCTTACTGCTCTGCACACCCCCAAGCAGAAGATACAAGTAAGCAAGCAAGCAAGAAACTGCCCGACTAACTTTCAAGCTGTTGGCCTGCATTCCATCTAACTTTTTGCTTTCTTTCTTCCTTGGTGGGATAGAGTTCTAGAAGACTATCACGCGACGTTTGTGGAATCAGTGCCTTTCAAGACAATAACAGTTTTCACCATATTCCAAGCAGCTTACCTGGTGGCATGCTTAGGGATCACATGGATCCCCATCGCCGGGGTGTTGTTCCCCCTAATGATCATGTTGCTTGTCCCCATAAGACAATTTGTTTTGCCCAAGTTTTTCAAAAGGGCACATCTTCAAGAATTAGACGCTTCGGATTATGAAGAATTTCCAGCTTTACCATTCACCACGAGTGGTGGCAGCACTAGATCGGTAAGCTCTACCATACTATTCATGTATTATTAGTAAAGTGTAATATCCATCCTTACCTTTTAGAAGGAACTCCAAATCCCTAACAATCGGGTGCTGTGCTGGTGAATCAGGACGAGGAAGGCGAGTGGGTTTCAAGATCGGGGACGTTTGGGGATGACAAGACCATATCGGCAGCATTTGGGGCAGCAGACGAGAAGGAGATTATGGATGGAATGGTGACAAGAAGTCGGGGTGAGCTTCGGCGTTTGTGCAGCAGCAGCTCCATTAGGGTAGCAGCAGCAAGTAGAAGTTTCAATGGGAGGGAGTCTGTTAGTAGTGCTAGTCCCAGACTCTCTGATCATCATCATCATCATCAAATGGTAGTACACAGTCCGAGGATTGGAATAGGAGGAGGAGGAGGAGGAGGAAAGGGAGGGACATTTAGCCCCAGGCGCTCCAAATTGGGTGGTAAAAACGACCACTGATTCTCATACGCCACCTTTCAGTTTTGTCACACAACTGAAACCTCCCATTCTAATCTGTCTTGGATCCATGAATATTATCTACTCTCTCCCTCCACAAATAAACTTTCCATTCATTATTCACAGGGTCAAACTTTATTCATTTTGTTGGTCTATTTTCGTCACTCATTTTATTTTTAAATTTTACACCATTTTTTATATAAATGATTTGAAAATAACTTCAGTCAAACATCGTAACGCGCAACGAGAAGTTTACTTGTGAACGGAGGGAGTACTATATTTTGTTACATCATTCGGCTCACCTTAGCTTACCAGCAAATCAGTCATTTGTGTTCCCTCCGTATTCAAATAATCAAACTTTAACACCTCCTTTTTTGTATTGCTTATTTTAGCTAGTTCATTTGATAAAATAACTATCATCTCTTTATTCGTAAAACTTTTGATCTAATTTTAAAAATAGGATATTTTTATTTTTAAATTCTACACCATAATTTGTATACAAAATTTGTAGATAATTTTAATCTCAAATTGATATGGAAGGAGTAGTAGTTTAAGTCTCCCTTGGTGTAAATATCTACAATTAGAGTATTCACTCTATCCCAAAATAAACATCATGTATTTCTCATTTGAATGTCTCAAAATAAATGTCGCTTTCCATTTAAAGAAAAAAAATGAGTGGTTCATATTATTTATCTCCTTTGCGTAAACATCTACTATAAAATTTTACGATGACCTGTGTGAATGTCAAAGGTTGCGTTTACTAACGGCTCCTTCACTATTAAAGAAATATGATCAGATTAAAGAGTTAATTTACTTTATTCTATCATACCTCGAAGAAGTAAAAGAATATCTCTGGCTCTATTAGAAATGATGGGATGATAGATCAGGGACACAATTATTTACTTGGCATTAAAAATGTCCTTGGGCACATTCTCTTGCCATAATGAGTTACATGCTACATGTACAATACATTTACATCACAGACTAAATTTTTTAGACTAAGCAAACAAGTGTCTGTTTCACAGACAATTTTTAAAAAGACAACTCGTTCCAGATTTTGTTTGTGTCGTATGAGTTTGGAGTAAAAGCCAACCACATTCAAAAAATTAAAGCTGGCCCTCCCTAGGAGTAAAAGCCACTTTAACCGGAGGTGTGAATATTAACTTTTAAAAGGGGAGAAGACTGTACAGCAAGGATTCACATTTCACTAGCCGAGCTATACACATGGGAGTGGAGGGCTTCACATTTCACAAAGCACTCGCCAAACAAGTCTATTCATCTCGCCAGCAACCCTTCAACACAACTCTTCCATATGTATCTCACCAATATTTTTTAATCCGTGAATAGTGCCTCTAAAACCTGCAACAGAGATTTTGGTAAAGAAAAAAATATTAAGACTTGCTACAACAAAATAATTCAGAATTCAAACTTGACATTTCTTGACAAAACATTGGGTATGCAATGCAATTGTGAAGCCAGATTAAGGGGTTTAGAGAGAAGAGTTCACAAACACACGCAACAAGAAGATCAAGAAATGAGGTGACAGTGAGAAAATTGAAGCTTGACGAAAACTTGCACAGCAGTGAGGGAAATACCACCAGCAATGAAATTCCTTTAACAATAAGCAGCTATAACTAGTAAAGAACACACCATTTTGTCTATGGAATGCAAGCAAAGTGTGAGGAAAAGAAGACTGGGGGTGGGGGCCATGATATGAATTTACGCTGTGTTGTGATAACGGATACCCAACCACATCTATACTACTTTCCGGTTCATTGTTCGCTGCTTCCAAAAGTTGAAGTTGGCATCGGTTGAGGTGACCAGGCCCCACCTCCCTCTTTATTAGAAATTACTTCAGTGCTGGCAGAATCAGCAACAGGTGAATACGGTTTTGTCACTTTCCTCTTAAGCATAACCTGGAGCATCACATCACATGAAGGATGATTATCTGATGAAGATGACGATGATAATAATAATGATAAGGGATACTAATAATAATAGTAATAATAATAATAATAATAATAATAATAATAATAGTAATAATAATAATAATAATAATAATAATAATAATAATAATAATAATAATAATAATAATAATAATGATAATGATATGGAAGCCACTCATATTTTATATGGCTGGGTTCTACAGCCACTCAAAAAGAGTGGCTACGGAAGCCACTCACCCAATTGGGGCACCTAAGTTGATCAGTTCGTAAAATTGATAGTTCCTACCCCCAACTACCCCCCCGGCTAAACCCCCTCACCCAGTTCTGACCCCAACCACCCCAACTCCCACTTTTTTCTATGCCCCGCCAATGTCACTTTCTCCTTTTTGAATTCCACTAACTTTCGACTTTGTCTACACTATCGGAGGGGGGAGGGGTTATGTTTGAATAAAGTTATTTTAAATTCAAACAACTTCCAAATTGGTCTAGAAATACACACACACACACATATTTAAAATCTGCATAAAAAGATTTATAAAAAAAGATATAACATGACTATATTAATTTATCAAATGAGTAACAAAAATAAAAAAAAAAAGTGAATGAAGTATGACCTTGTGAATAGTGAATGGAACTCTTATTTTGGGACAGAAGGAAGTATTTGCACTTCTTACAACAGTTATTTGGGGTAAAGTTGCAAAACAAACTAAATATTGTTTGTTACTACAATTTAATCCCAGCTCTCGAGGGAATAATAACAACAATAATAATACAACAAAACACATTATAAGGGTCTCAAAATAACAAGAATAATAATACAACAAAAGAGGCTGTTTTGTTAGACCTTTGTTGTAATGCTGCATTTATTACCCAAAACTTCATAAATAATGAAAAGCAAAGGAAGTTGAAAGTGTCATTTTGATTTTGTTCATTATTTACCCGAAGCTAAAACAAAGTCAATAACAAAAAAAGAACACAAAAAATAACAACTAAAACAACAAGAACAGTTCTAAGCGATGACTCTAGCATAATCTTAACAAGCTTTTTCCTTAAACGAGAGTGCCTAATATATTGGGGTATGACTATCTGATGAAACATTGGCCCAAAATATGACTTTCAAACATTAATGGCATGCTTGGTTTTTTAGATGGTAAGTAGAAATTTAAACCTTTGAATCACGTGGCCCATAAGTAGTCCTTGCCAGCTCGATTGATGAATAAACCTCAAATGTTTGATTAGAATTGGGCTGGCATTTTATGATGCGAACTTGGTCCTTTCCTTCCAGTGATCGACTTTGCAGATATATAATAAGCCGTGAGGGTGGGCCATTCATAGCATCTTTCTTCCCCGGAGACAATTCCATGGTCACCAAGTCATCCCATAAGACATCCCACAAAACTGAACACGGATCTCTTGCGGGATTAAACTTCTTTTGTGCAATAAGGTTTGAAGGTTGCTGACAACAAATAATAAGCACTATTATCAACCAAATTTGTGAGCATAGATAATATTATAGAATGGAGTGGGTGGTATTTGTTTGAACTTGTCAGTCAGTCTAACTCTCTCCGAATTAGTTTGATCAACCTACTTGCAAAAGTAAAACTCTCCGGTGTGTGATAACAATTATTCTTCCTTTAGGAAGCATAAAGTGGTCTTCATAAGCATCTGTCAGGGCAAATTTTGCTCGCACTTTGAAAAGGTCAACCTGGCCAAAAAATGATCCAGATTCTGCTAACTGCAATATTACCTTCATAATGACAAGGTAGAAAGTAACGAGGATTAGTTTTCCCACATGTAACTAGTATTCAAGGATCAAAGAATAGATGCTTTAATAAGGAGAAACATATCATGCATAGATAAAAACCATCATGGTGGGGAGCAACTACAGAAAAGGATTAGCTCATTAACTTAACTTTGGATGATATGTGTTGAAGTCTTCTTAACATTTTCTGAGAAGCTATTAGGAATACATATATCTTAAGCATAGTTTGTAATCAGACGTGAAGTTCTTTAACATTGTTAATTAGATCTCTTTAATAATTTACATGGCATCAAAGTAACTTCAGTTTTGTGTTTCACATATCATTTTGTCTTTACACGAATAAATTTTTTAAGCGTGAGTTATGTTGGGCACTTAAGGTTGCAAATCATAATGTGTTTCCTGTGAACTTGAGTTTGCCTTTTAATGTTTTCAGCGCTTTAACATGTAAAATGGAAGTGTTCATGATGTCCTAGGATACAAGCAAAGGTCAAGGGGCATTGTATTTGAATTGCATGCTTTGTTCCAATCATATCGTAGATGCCAACGCTTTTGTGCATCCCAGAATAGAAGCCAAGCAAACAATAGCTGGAAGAATTTGTAGAAGGAAATATATGCATTCTCATGCTTTGCTAGCCAAAAGTGGGTGAATGCTCATTAACAACTACTAGTATGTAGGTTCAATTATGCATGCATGCCTATAACCTATTTCTCATTTCTACCGTGACAAATAATAGGAAAGATGTTGATACCTGGCCTTGTGCTTTGTACTCATCATATGGTCGAAGCAGATTATCAGCACTAATCACTCGAGGCAGCCTCCTCCTAAGGAGTTGATCCTCTGAAGCAATAGCTGATGCTATTTTCATCCTCATAGCATTCGCACCTTCTGTAGTTTTTGATAGAAGATCCAAAACACCACTAACAGGTTGAGCAGCAGCACCAATCAATCCTTTCCCAACACCCTGAACAAAACCCTCGACACCTGAAGCTTTTGCTCCCTCAAGAGGCTTAGTCAAAATGCCAGTGACACCACGAAAAAGGCCTTTTGCAAAAGCTCCTCCCCCTTCTCTTATGACATCACCGAAGTCCTCCACACCTTTGCTTTCCTGAAACAACATGTTCTTTCCTCTCAAACAAAGCACATATATTCCACAAACTAGACTGTTAGAAAGTAGTACCAAGGCCATTTCTGGGATTAGTAAAAAAAGAAACAAACAACATCTGATAATCCCCTCGTTAGTACTAATTTCTAATTCATAGGGGAAGACATTCCTATCTTGATTTTACTTTACACTTGAGTTTTCTCTAAACCATGAAGAGCACAAATGCATCAAAGGCAGAAGATAATAGGAAAATGATCTTCTACGAACCTGTTTTTGTCGACTTTGAATAAATTTCTTATCCATTGACAAGGCAGCAACACCTTTACTCATGTGACCAAGTGCACTACTTGCATTCCCAAGTATATCAACACCTGAGAGCAACTGGAGAGGTTGGCTAAGAAGATCCTTCTTAACATTAGCAATAGCATTTCCAACCAAAATGCTACGCTTCATTGATACATTTTCCAGAAACCTTTGATTAATGCGAACCTAATAAAAATAGGAAAATGTAACACATTTGGTACATGAGAAATAGTGAGACATTGCTTCTGGAATAATTTCCCTACTAAAGTGCTAAACTAACAAAATGAATAATAACTGAAAACAACACTCCCTAATGACCAGACTAACCACACATTTGATATTTCTATTATGAAATTAGGTAACAGTTGGTGCTTACTGGCATATTTTCAGTATTCCCAAGTGCAGTCATCAAACTTGACCAAAACCCGAGAACACCTACAGGCCGCTGTGATGGTGACATTACCATTGATACTTTGATTCGGATTTCCGAAATGTTAAAAGCACTGTCAAAATGTATACCTCTTGTTTAGCCAGTATTCTATACAGACAGAAGAGTAACCAAACAACAAAAATGAATCAAAACACACAATGCAATAGGTACATACCCAATTTGAACTATGGGATCAACAGAAACAGAGGTACTTTGTGTATCAAATAACCCGCTAAGGCTAGCCTGTTGAATCATTCCATGAAGGCGCCAAATTATAGGTTCATGAATGTTGATCAAAAATGCAGAATTTTCAGGTCCCTAAAAGGATAAACATATTATTAAAAACATCAAATAGTTTATGAGTGCACTTTTGAGAAGGGAACTTGTGAGATTATAAGAAGCATCATTTACTCACTTGGAAACCTATATATGGATAGACACACAAATCTAATGATCCAGTGGACTGCTGTGTTAAGGAGAACTTCAAGATATAATCAGTGTGCTCTTCAATCCTTTGTGGTCGGAAGAGAACTGGCATAGGACTTAACGGCAACTGATTGTCGACCTGAATGCCACGCATTCTTGCCTTCAGACTGTAAAAAAAATAACAGTATAAGATCTTAAATCAAACTTCCATGCACATGCATTGATTAAACAACAAAGCTACAGCTATAAAACAAATAAACAACTTAGTGAGAACTTTACCGGCTGACTCCAGAACCCAGTCCAGTTGAATAAGATAGCACAAGACTCTGTACTGATAGATATAATATTTCTTCTGGTGTATGATCAATAATAGATAGTCCAAGCTCCGCAACCTCAACAATGGCATGAAACTCAGAATCTGAGGTGTATACGGACTGCTGAGAACGAGAACTGCCAGAGATATGTGAAGATGAAGGGCTTCTATTCAAATTAGTGAGTGTATCATTAACTGGCATCCAGTCACTGATTCTGACAACATTCATTTTCTCTTCTTTTAGTACAGTTACACGTAAAGCTTTCTCGGGTCTTCTAGCTGCATGGGCGGGCTGATGATCAGAGATCTCATCAATATTATATTTCCTTGAAGAAGCAGGGTCATTCCCTTCTATCAAGAGCTCAATTAATCTTTCACGACCAAGATCTTCCCATGAGAAAGAAATAGAAGCATTAGGAAAAATAACTCTCCATGAATCATTTGTTCCATCCACTTGTCGAACATGAACTGGCAGAAGTAAAGAGTGATTTTCAATCCTGTCAACAACAAAATACTAACTAATCTTAGACGAAAAAATTGTAACAAGTATTAACAAGAAATCATAGTGTCAGTTACTTCTATACAATTTAATTCGCATTACAAATTTAATGCCGCTGACCCCGAGGTGATATTTATGCTGATGATGATGATGATGATAATGGTGATGTTGATGGAGGCTATTGAAAAGAGAATAATATGGAAATACCAGAAATTAATACAAACACCACCGAATTATTCTCATACAGCATTAAGTGAGCAGACACGTGAACCAAAACTTCAAGAACAAAAGAATGAAACTGATATGAATATTTACAAGTTGATGAGCAAGTGAAGGAGGAAACGATGCACCACATCCACAATAGAGACCACCGTCAAGGGTTCATGTTCAGATTATGTTAGACAAAACTTTAAAATGGCTATATAAATGATTCCAATACAAGCATGGCGCAACTCTTGGAGTAACACTATGTTTTCACTAAAAGATATGTTTTGCCAGCAGATTTGTGCTAAATTAGAGTGCATGTGTCTGTTTCATAATGTCATCTAAATTTGATCCAATAATCATTGACATGGTATAAGATCTTTGTTGACCTAGAAATCACATGTTTGATTCTCTATAGATTTAATTATCTTTCCACACATTTAACAAATATCAGAGTGGTCTGGCACTTCGTGTCTGGATGTAGAAAATGCCAAGTGTAACAATTGAAATTATCAAACAATGGTGACAATAAATTTTAAATTCTTGCTTATTAACCTTGTTTGCAAAAGAGTACTTATGCTTTGTTGCTTGAATTTCTAGTAAATCCATTACCTCTGGGGGCTCTTGATATTTTTTTTCTTTTTTTCCTGAGTATGTAACATTTAAAGGGAAAACAATGCACACATGTTGCATTCATTAACCTAGGATCTTTATCAAATCATGCTGGGAAAAGAATGGACAACAATAACAGCCAACCAAATAAATTTCCACAAGTGGGGTCTGGGGGCCGGGAGGTGGATGACCTTGCCCCTACCAAGAAAAGGTAGAGAGGTTTTTTCTGAATTGGAAAAGAAAGTAATGTTAAGAAAAATACAAAGATCACAATAAACCTGTAAGGACTTGAAAATGCCTTCGGCCTGAAAACTACTTCATAATGTGACTCTTTCGAACCGCTTCTTACTTCAACCCTAACATGCATTAAGCTACTTCCAGTTTCACTTCTCAAGCAGATGCACATCAGACCTTCAGCACCGACACTAAATGGCGCACTCCATTTGTAACCATCCAGCCTTATCTGAGAAAAAAACATAAATATAACTCAGAATAAAAAATAAAAACTGAAATTCATATGCTTTGGGAAGGCACGCCTAACCAACAAAAGAATGTCAATTCTACCGACCTTCAACAATTCAACTTTATCATGTTGCCATGCAAGATGTTTCGGGGGATCAGTTGGATGTATCCATTCAAACAAATCAGAATTACATTGACAGAGGCATATATCGCAGCCAAGCCTATTAAGAAATAAAGTATGTGGTTGAAAGTGTACAACCTGCACATCCATGTAGCAAAAGCAAATAGTAACTAAACAAAACAATACCATTTAAATTTCTGACACTCAACCCGTGATAATATCCTAACAGATGAATAAAGGAAGCTTTCATGTATAAACAATTCTAAAAAACATTTAAATTGAAAACCCATCCCTCAATAAACAAAATAATTATGTCAAAATTCTGAATTTTGTCATTACATACATGAAAACGTAAGTTTGCCAAATCAAACAGGTTCATCCAGGAATGGAGGTTAGTTTTAAGAATTCAAACACAAATAAAAAAAATGAAACAAGGGAAAAACCCAAACAGAGTCCTTCACATAGACCCCCCACCCCACCCCACCCACACACACACACAAACAAAGAATAGAAATTTAAAAGCAAACCTTCGTTCTGTCTGACGTCATATGCAACACAGCAGAAAGCTTGTAATAATTTCCATTTGGCCCAAACGCTTTGATATCTACTCGTTGCTGTAAGAAAGCCAATTTGAGTTCAAAAACACAATTTGAAATACATAGTAAATGCTAAAATACAATTTGAATCTATTAAATATTTTCAATAACAAGGTACAAATATCACCTTCTTTTCTAGTTCAAGAAGAGAGATACCAGGACTGAAATTTTCAGAGTTTTGAATAGCAACAGAAATGCCCACACGCGAAGAAGGATAAGAATCATTGCGAGATGAAAACAGCACCACACCACCACGCCCTACATAGTCTTGAGGAGAAAGCATGCTGGGAGTTGGACTGGTATCTTCAATAATATCAAGAACTTGAATGATTTTCCTGGGACCTATTTGTTTACGTCCCACAGTAGATGGACTTCTCAATGCTAACTTAGCAGACTTAGCAGCTCTAGAAAGCACAAGTGAATCCACACTTGCACTCTCACCCGGTTCGATTTCCACGACCCGATATGCCAAACACAAGTAGGACTCATTAGTAATCCAATAAGGAACGAAGAACCTTATGGTTTTGGGAGCAGCAGTCGTCCCTCCCAAGTCACGTTCAATACTTACTCGCAATGTCCTAGTCAACAGACCAATTGGAATAGTAAACATCAGTTAGCAAATTCATCATTAACTGAAATATAAGAGTATATGACAAAACTCATATTACCCAGATGGTTCTTTGCAAGTTAGACAACAACAAAAACCATCTTTTCAAAATGGGGCTACACCGCCTACATTCCATTAAAAGCAAAGCCTAAACTCCATAATCGTTATTTCACCAAACAAAGCAGAGACTGAAAACCTACTATGGAGAATAGCTGTAAAAGTAGTTTAGAAGTGCCTAAAAGTATGGCTTCATCCTTGTGATCTCGTCTTGTGAATCTGTGATGTCATTTGTAGTCCTATAAATGCATTGCATTTATTCTTAAATATCATCTCAAATATCAATCCATGCATTGAAATGTGTTTATTACACACTTTTTTCTTTCTACTTTCTATGCTGTTTGCTTCCGCTCCTAGCAGGTGCTGGCCTCCTAGCACCACCCGCTAGCCCTAGTATTTTAATCTTAAACATATCCAATAGTAAACTCCAAAAAACAGAGAAAAAAGAAAAAAAGAAAGGAAAAATTCAAAGAAACAGACCAGAAGTGCATATGGGCACTAATAAGCTATAAATTATCTAAAATCTTTCAATATTACATTGTTTCCATTACATTACAATATGGCATACACTGCTATCTTTTTTTTTTCCCATTCTGCTTTTTTATCATGAGAAGAGTGCAGCAGACGAGTTCATCTTTGAGAGAGCCTCTTACAAAAGTTGCTCTCTCCCTCAATAACATAAGCGACTAAAACTCAAGTTCTTTATATAAAAAAATATTGTTTCCTAGATCACATTTATTTTCTTAAATATATATTTGATGCAAACAACATACCTTTTTCTCTGCTGGTGGACCATCCAAAATGATGAGGCATGGCTATTATTTATAATATCCAAAAACATAATAGGGTCCTATTTAGTAATAAAAAAAGATATATATTAGATTTGTTTTCCACAAGCATGCCTAATTAGTAATTATCTATATTAAAGTGTGTGCATGTCACCTTTACATCAAGAACTTCATACCTTTTCCAGAGCCCAACCACCTTGAACAAACATCATAAGATAGAGAGGGTTCCTTATATCAGCAGAATATATGTGCATGGTTTCACGCGAAGCTAAATAACCATGATGTCGCTCTATGATACTTCCATCTTTGATTTTTTCAAAAATTCTTAGCTCAGCTTCACACGGAAGTCTATTCTCCAGCTTCAGAGGGGAGCTAATTGATATTTTCCAATCATAAACAGGGGCATTTAGCTCTGTGTTAAGAACTGAAGCATCTGTACCAACGCAGAGCCAAGCCCGTTTACCTGTGGCACCAGGGCAACAAAAAAGCAGATCTGTTTTTTCAAGTTCATTGAGCTTCAAAGGTGAAACAGGTAGACCGTTTCCCTGTCTCAAAGTATTTTGCCTCGATAGAGTGCTTTGCTCAATCGAAAGTAGGTCCTTTCCAAGTACATAGGCAGATCCCAAAAAAACAGGTTGGCCCCATGCATAAGCAGTTTGAGAATGATCAATGCAAGGACGAACTTGTAAACAATTATTAGAATCCTTAAATGTGCACTTCCAAGGCAAAACAGATGAACAACCAGGACTAATTAAACCACTTGTTCCTCTCTCCTGAACTTGATGTGTTCTGTGTTCTTGAGAGTGAATCACGGGCACGTCACATGACGAATATTCCAGCGTAATATCCGAATCATTACATACTGTAGCAAGTCCTCTGAAAATTGCATGTTTTTTCCCATTCTTGGTGACAACTTCTACAGCCAAATAATCACTGTTCACTGTTTTGGTGATCACTGACATGGGAAGGAATGAGCGAATACTTTCCCATGGACCATGTTTATTAAGACCCACCCAAAAACCTACATCACTCTCAATTCCATCCTTCTCCCCTAGATCATTTTGGAAGTTCGCCGTTGTTTTCTTTTCGAAGTAAGAAGTTGAAATAAAAAGGCAACCAGGAGAATCACTCTCATTATTCAGCTGACCCTGGAAAATATCATAAATGTATAACAAGATGTAAAGGGGGAAAAAGCATGTCTGTAAAGAGATTATAAGATGGAGTAAAAGAAAATGTTATGAAGAGAAAACCGACTTTTCTTTTCAGTGGGTGGCACAAAATTTTCTCCGCATTACTTGTTGAATGCAGCATTCTCACAGAAGCAATCTTCTTCAATACACTAGAACCATGCCCAACTGAAAATGAGGCCGCACCGACGACTTCACCTACATTGACAAAGTATACAGTAGAATAAGCACTAATGAAGCTTTGGGTGAATTAGGCAAAGAAGCACTTATTGAACTACTAGTTATTAGACATGAAAAAGGTACAACCTTGTAAAAAAATCAAGTCATTACACAGCACACATGTTCTACATCATACTCTATTCCAGGAAAGTTATAACTTCATGGAAAAAAACTTGCCTCATAGAGAAGCATTATTTAAACAACATCAGCAACTGTGGGTAACGAATTGCACATACCATGCTCTTTACAAGATAAAAAAGATGAAAATAAGACAAGAAGACCACCCACAAGTACTGAAAATCAATATCACAGATACCTTTACCAGCCTTTGAAGCAAGATTTGTCACCTCTACTTCCAGCTTGGCCAATCCCTGCAGCATAAATGTAACAAAAAATGATGACACAATGAGTGTGCTTATTCTAAAAGCTACTTGGATGAAATTAGACATTGAATGTGTTTATTCTAACGGCTACTTGACTTGAATCCATTCTTGCATCTCAATATCTCTTAATTGAACATCCTATAACCAGTGTCATTGTTCTCAGGAATCTCAAGAACAAGAACAGACCAGTAAAATCCCAAAAAAGTGGGGTCTGAGGAGGATGAGTGTATGTAGACCCTAACCCTACTAAGAAAGTTGAGAGGTTGTTTCTAAGAGACACCCGGCTCAAAGCAAAAGAGCACACAACATTCGACAAAGGAAAGTATCAAGAGCAAAGTATGAACACATACAAAGAGGCACATATGTTATATGTATAACCTTACGTACAAAGCACACACAAAAACTACAAACTAAGGCCCAAATTTCTACCCTAGCATGCTAATGTGACACCTTCACACGCTCCTATCTAAGGTCATATCCTTGTTAAGATCCTGAAGTCGTAAGCCTTGTCTAATCACCTCCTTCCAACAATTCTTAGGCTATCTCTACCCCACTTTCCTATAGTGTAGGACTTAAAAGTGAATCAAAAAGATTAATAACATGCAGGATAAATAATAGACAATTAGTTACAAAAGCCTGACCCAATCTTTTACTATTGATAGTCCACACTTTTCAAGTATTACCTTCCGGGGAACTTCAAAAATGAATAGTTCATTCCATTTAGCTGTGCCCTCATCTTGACCATTTAGTTTAGCAATTAATGGTTTCACACATTTGGTTCTGGCACTCTGCGGAAAAACCTTTTGCTGACTTGTATCCTGACTCTCCACAACCAGTCTTAATGCACAGAAGAGATTATGACTGTTTCCATCATCAACAACAGGTAATGACTGAAATGAAAGTAGACAAAAAATTAGATGTGCAACCAAAAAATGATTATAAAAAAAGTGGATATAATCAAGAGAAAAGTGGCAACCTTTGCTTCAACAATCTGAACAGTAACATAGCGCCTATGATCTCTTGATTCTTCAATAACGTTTAGTCTGTCAGAAAACCTTGGAGGTGGAATCCACACAGAGGCAAAAGAATCAGCAGGTAATAATTCAACTGCATCAGAGTTCTCCTCAACTTTTTTCAAATACATATCACATCCAAGTTTGTTTTCTACTACTACAGTCTGAAAATCATCCTCATCCAGTGCTGAAAGAGTTGAACTCTGATGGTCAGCATCTTGACGACCACGAGCTTCCTGCAAAAGTAACAAATGATAGTCTCAAAAATAATTTTTAGTTTTGAATAATTAAAAAGCTAGCACAAAACCACTACAATAAAAAGAAGTTTGAATAATAATATATTAAGAGTTTTTCTTCTCGCCTCAAGTAATATGATGGCTTTTTGTTCGAGCTCTCTCTGTTTCCTCCATGAATTGACAGTCTGTGCCAAGGTGCCAAGATTTGATGCACTAATATTTATATTTAAGATACTAGTTGCTGCAATGCGCAGCCTTTTTCCAAGACTTGATGATGACTGAATATTTGTCTCATATGTCTCAAATCTGCATATGTAATGCAATATTACTAGAATGGGACGGCTATACTAGAACACACTGTAACCAAATAAAGAATCCTCGTAATGATAGGTTACTTGTATATCCCGTCAAATGGCTCCACAAGTGGCTCCCATGCTTCTAACCGTGTGTTGAAAGTTGAAGCAGCAATTGAAGAAATGAGTACCGCATTCATCGCCTCTATCCGACCATGTGTTGCAAGTTTGAGATTTGTTATTGTGACATCAAAAAGTGGTGTCATCTGGCCAACAACACAAACCAGTTGATAATTAAAGGATTGCATTTTTAATTTATTAAACAGAGAGAAATTTGAAATCTTTGCTAACCATTCCACAAAAGCTGTCCAAAAAGGTAATGGAAAAACATCTTAATTTCATCTCAGAGGTCACATTCTCCCTGGTCTTGGGCTTCACTGAATCACCGATAGCAAAAGCCAGCCTTGTAGAAGGCTTTTTCATATCGGGTCTTGCAAGAAATGTGCAAGCCTACAGATACCAGCTAGAAGGGTAAGAACTAAAGGGGATCAAACAGAGCCAAGACCCCAAAAAGAGCTGACCAATAAGATCATTCAACATATGTAACTGTACCTGATTTTCAACTTTCCAGATGCTCCAGCATTGAGAAGCTTTTGAGCTTGATGATCTTGAGATTGGAATCTCAACAATATTAGATCCACTAACAAGATCCATCCTTGGACAGCAGAAAGATTCCAAAGGTGGTGCTTCATCATGTCGTGTTACTACACACCCTAAGGTAGCATAACCAGGTGGAGCAATAGGATACCAAAAGAAAGCTTCATCAAGTCCTTTTACTAGAATATGGGCCACTTTTGTAAATTGCACAGGATTGGCAGAAATTTCAGGGTTGTCAGCTTTAAAAATCATGCCCAGAGGTGGTGGCTCAAGGCTGTAGCAAAGTGAGATGTCACATTTAAAATGTTAGGATAAAGACTAAAGTGAAAACAAGTCTCAATGATGAAAACACAATAGAGCTTTACCCCTCAGTTATGCAGTCACCCAGTACAGCATAACCTGGACGTGATATAGGCCGCCATATGGAAACAGGTCGACGAAGATCACTACCCCGATCCCACCAGATTCTCTCAAAATTTGGAGTTGATACATAGCACGGGGTTGCTTTAGAGATTGATCTGACGATATCCCACCCTGATGTATGTGGTTGCATGCACTCATGTTCATATGTAAGATCAGTGGAAGGATATATTGAGGAAGAACGATACCAACTTGAACTCCAAAGGAGAAGATGGTTGAGATCAAAACAAGATTCTTTTGGAGGATGCTCGGTAGATTGATGGGCATAAAACGATCCAAGAGCATTATCCAAACGCCATATGCTATACCCAGATATAAATGAAGAACTTACAGCAGCACTAAATAAGCATTCTGAATATGTTGTTGATGTTACTAGATCACAGCGTATGCAATGAACAATATGATTTGGAGGTTGTTGGCTGCCTATGTGAGCAACACATCCCACCGCCATATATCCAGCTGGTGCAATTGGAAGCCAAAGAGAACACTCATCATCTACACCAGTAGATCCTTGTGTTCCAGACAATTTACCTATGAGCTCGTAACCAAGAGGCTTCCGAACACGTCCATATGTATTGCTAATGGCCAGAACAGCTTGAGACGGGGGATTTGGCCTAAGAATAAGATATAAACCTCATGCATTATGAATCAATTAGTCTTCAAGAACAAAAGAAAAAACTGTTGATAACCCAAACAAGAGACAAGAAAGGAATAAATGAATTTTGTTTGAGAATCCTAACAAAAAATATTTATACATTTCACAAGGGAAGAGAGAACATGCAAATCTGGTTCTCATTACCTTGAGGTCACACAGTCTCCTAGAATGACATAATTCGGAGGAGCTCGAGGCCTCCAAAACGTAACATGGTTAAGAATCCCATTTTCTGAAAACATGTAACAAATCAAACTTAAAGATGTTGTGAACAACCTGAAGATAGTGAAGAACAATATAACATTCCAAGGAGAAAAGAAAAGAAGAAAATTAACCTTTTGGAGACACCCAGATGCGATGGAAGTGAGTACAAGGGGACAGAGGATCGGCATTCTCAAACTGTAGCGTTGTTGCTAATTGAATTTGCAAATTGAGTAAAAGGGATATAACACCTAGAGAAAGATGGGCATATATATCTGTGGAGAATAACGATATATTTGTTTTATCCTTGACAGAAGTATATCCACCAGATATGTCCACTGGATCAAGGATAATGAGCCCAGAACCAGCCTCAACAGTTAGATCCTTCAAGAGACCCCGTATCCATCTATCATTTTCTTTTGCAGCATACCTGCACAGACATTGATTATAATGACTATTTAATCTGTACTGTGTGCCACACAAATTGCAATTTATAGAAGCAATGTAGCTCTGTAAAAAAATAGCTGTCATTAATGATTATCTTTGTCAGATTTGAAGTTTCCACAGTTGTGGAAATCTTACTGCATATATAGCAGAATATGTGTATACAAGTCAAGAGAACTGTGGTTTTAGTCTAGTTGGGTGTAAGTGTAATGTATATCATTCATCAAATAATATATACTGGAAACCACATTTGACAGCAATCCATTTTTTTGGGCATTCCAGGCTGTGATCATTGGTTTCTGTCTTTCTGATTATAAATTTCCACCGAAGTTTCTCTACCTTGCATAGCAGAATATACATTATACGGAGTACAAGTTAAGAGAGTTGTTTATTATAGTCTAGTTAGGGCCAATTACATGGGCTGCATATCCACTCAATAAAATGCAATGTATATCATTCAGAAAATGAGTCTCGGTTTCATAGAAAACACATTTAACACTAACCCACATTTATATGATTGCTTTGAAGTTTTTTAGTATAATAATAGAAGCATACATAAGAAAGCCATTAGCATAGACTCAGCATACACTTGCAAACCTAGAGCATACATTAGCAAACTTGCTTATATTCTTCTTGCTTACTGACACCCCGGTGCAGAAATATGAGATGCTTACGGTGGTGAGCGGGAATAGGGGAGGGTTAGGTGAAGAGGGGTACCCTTGTAGGGTTCAATTATTTGTGTGTTGTTATTTACACTTCATTTCTATATTTCGTAGTTGTTTTACCCAAATGTTCATGTTTTAATATTTGATAGTTCTAATCAATTTTCTTGAGCCAAGGGTCTTTTAGAAGAAAAAAAACCCTTCACATGCCTAACTCGAGATTGGCACCTTCCCTCAACTCCCCCGAGGTTGGTCCCCCCTACACACACTTATGTATTTGTGTATATACAAATATATTATTATAATAGAATATAATAAATCTAAAATGGTAAGCTTGCACTTAGCATATTAGTCATGAATTCACATATAGCATGCACTTAACATACATGACCAAACCTATAGTACTCATTACAACACTTGGCATTCAATATCATTGCATTTAGGCATTTAGCTCAAGTTGTGCTCTAATTAAATGTTTCCTAGGGATTTATGTGAAAAAGTAATATATTTTTATATTCAAGTAGAGGGTGAAGCAATACTTGATGCCTTATAAATTAAATTCATTAGGATAAATGAAAAAAAACTCCCAATAACAATTAAATTTGCTTTGTCCAAGCTTGACAAGGCACAATAGTTTGTCTAAAACCCCGTCCAGATCATAAATGTAATGCCCAATGAACACACCCATATTTTATTAAGCTTAAGTAAGGCCTAAGTTGATAAATAGTTACTTGATAGCTTCTTAGTCAAAGGTCGAGTAGCTATTAAGAATTTAGGATCTATTACTCATGAGTACTTGGTGGCTACTCAATCTTGTATAAGTAAACTTAATCACTCGCACACACACATAATATAGAATTATACATGAAACATAATGCATTCTTGCTTTTGTTAGGATATCAATGAAAACTTGACAAAAAGATGGAGACTAAGTTGCTTATTAGGAAAGAACCTATCAGCCTCAGGTTTGAACAAATAGACAATCAAAATGCGGGTGCAAAACATGAACGATATTTGAATGGACAAGAGTATTACATGAAGCTAACGTCCACTTTTGCTCGAAGCAGCTTTTCACCATATGAAGAGTTGTCTAATGATGACTTGCTACTGTCGTAAAAAGTGAATTCAGGAGAAACAACCTAGAAACAGTAAAATAATAATGAAAAAGATTAATGAATCCAAATTTTTGTGCACACACACAAACAGAGTTAATAATTAAGTGTGGAGCAGCAATGATCAAAGGTCTAGCCAACGGTGGAAAAAAACATAACAAACACCATGAAAAAGAAAAACTAAATCTAATTTATAATGTTTTTGTTTTTTTATCATGACAACAATAAATCCTTCTTAACAAGTACTAACATTAAGATATTGCAGAAATCCCAATGTGGAGGATTTAAATGCATGCTACCAGGCTAGTTTACAATTGCTGTTTAAAGTGTAAGATACACCTTGACTCGATCCTCTATCATGTTGATTACATTTTGAAGCTTACGGGAATTAATCTTCATTGAATAACTCAATTAAACAAAACAATATATAAATAAAGAGGAAGGAAACACGTCTGAACAGATAATTCCTTATGAGCACTTTTGTAGGTATACATACAAATGACTTCATGGATTTCAACATTGCTTTCTAAATCGACCTCAGAGTGTATGGTTTTTTATTGAAATTTTACCCACCTCAAAAAGATACTCCATACTATATATAAGTAAAATCTCGTGTTGAAATTTAAAACAGTTACACTTATTGGCTTATTGCGATGCTTTTTAATAGGCTAAAAAGTGCATCCTTGTAGCCAATATGTTCATCCCCCTCAACTTTTGTCAAACTAACATTAAGAAAAATTAAGTAGCAATATTTATCATCTAACATCAGAAAAAACTCAAAGTGAATCATTAACAGAGCAATAAACTGATGTACGGTTTATTCCAGTCTTCCAAACAATACAGAACATAATGCAACATTTAGATTGACAAAAGAAGGTGGATTACTAGTCTGTACTATCCACAAGCAAATACAAATGTACCTGCGCTTCAAAACTATAGCTTTGCGCCTGGCTTGCCCCACTCTGGACAGCATCTGAAGTATAAAACAACTCTTCTATATTCTCCGGACTCCTCTTGCCATTATCAATGGTACTCTCCACAAACAAAATTTCAACACCATCATCTTGGGACACAAAGTAGCTGCTATCATTGCTTAAGTATGTATACTTTCTCAATAGCAACCCATTCTGAACAATAGAGAAAATGAAATACAACCATAGGTGCAAGGTAAGTACAAGAAAAACAAGAATACATCAACAGCAAACCCAGTAGAGACACAAAAATTCGGGACTGAGAAGGGCGTGTACGCAGACCTTACCCCTACTCGAAAGTGGAGAGGCTGTTTCCAAGAAGAAAAACAAGAACGTTTTGATTATTTAAAGTGTGATTCATGGGAGGTTAGGAGACAAACAAATGATCATCGTCAGCAGCATAACCTTATCCCAACTACTTGGGGTCACTGGCATCGAATAATGGTGCTCATTAACACTATAAGTTATAAAATCATGCAAAAAAATTTAAATTCTGGCAAAGTTTTATGACAGATGCATGTCATGTCGCAACCTTCATAAGAAGTAATAATGAAATGAAAAATTCTAAAGCCATCATCATTATTTTCACATGCAATATATCATGACATGGCGATGAGTTGAAATATTTGCTATTGTCATGTTCCATTATTGCAAAATTTGCTATTGTCGTAGAATGCCACACAAAAATAACTTAGATTTCAATGCATAGTAAGAATATTAAAAGGAAAAATATGTAATGAGGTCAAACAACTAAGGAAATATTAGCACCTCAATTTTTACATTCACAAATCTCAGCCTCTTGCCCCGTCCTATAATGATAATGTATTTCGCTTCGGATGAATGCATTTCTTTCCCCTCCTCAACGGTGAGGCAGATGGTCTTACCACAACCATCATATACGTATTCATCAATACCCGCTGCATCAGCCACTAGCTGCCTACTAGGGGATAAGTGCACTATATCTTCAGCCTGTTTATGAAAAGGAGCAGAAAAAACTATGCTGCTGTTTTTTACAATTGGATCATTTTTTGGATCCATCACTTCTTCTCGGCCAGTTATTGTCCCCAAAGATGGAACAAAGTATTCACAAACAGCAAGTAGAAAATCAGGAACAACTAAAACGCGAGGCTGCTGAATCCGAACAACAAACGACATAGATGAAGTCCGCCATCGACAATCCATCAAGAACATTGTTGAGGTTGGAAGATCAATGTTCACATCAGGTGACATTTGTTTATGAGCATCACTGCATGATCCAAGCATCAGGCGCATTTCAGGTTTTGTATCAGGACGACTGTCTAAAATCAAAAACTTAGGGATGGTAACATAGAGATCAGCTTCAGATAAAGACGTCATGCGGTATGACACCCAAAGACCCTCAAGCTGCAACAGAAAAGTAATATATAATACAGGATAAAATAAGCGAAAGACAAACCAAATGTGAGACAATCAGACGTGCTCAGAATCATTAACCACATGCACAACAAGACCCATACTCACAGCAAGATGAGCCAAATGGGATTCCTCATGGACTCCGTTGCATAAATCCAGCAACGCATAGCCCACTTCAACAGACATTATAGTAACTGTGCGTGAAAGGAGTATTTGACTATTCATGTTCACTTTATCAGCAAGCAGTCGTATTGTATCTTTTGAAGCAGATTTGTTGCTACGGAATGGAGGTGGAAGTTTAGGTTCCTCCGAAAAGTTCACGTAGAGACTATCAAGAATAACATTGTATTCCTTATCTGACATCACTCCATGCAGCAAACCTATCTGTTTCAGAAAGAATCAAGTAATAAATATAACACACTGATACAAACATATAATCACTGATGGAACACTTATGAAGAGTCAATAGCAGCATCCCATATTCAATAAACTTTATAGACACTATAATTAACTAACATGCCTATTTAACATCAGATTATTAATCTCTATGTAAGTACAAGATTACATAAAGTACAGCAGGATCATCTGCACAATTTGACAGCTATACAACCATTTACACACAAAACTAGGCATTATGAGAATAAATGAAAATCTATGTTTAAAATTTGAAACCTTTGGCAACGGGAGAGACAAGGACCCACCTTAACTTCCAATACAAATGTAGGGACCTTCCGGAAAACATCCCGAAGACTGCGGCGCACATAAATATGAATATCTCTGCCTTCACGTATCATTGGTCTTCCAATACATCCATTAATTCCAACGGCCATATTAATACCTACAACCTGCATTTTGCAGCATCCAGCATGTATGAAAATAGCAGCAGCCAAGCCTAACTTCTCAATAAGTACAACAACATTAGATACCTCAGCATCAAGAACATCAATGTGGACTGCTGATGGATCTTTTTCAGGGGATCCAATCCAGCTAACCTCATTTTTAATTCGAAGATGGCCAAGGTCAAGTTGCATGAACCTGCATTATCAACATATATTAGATTAATGTGTTTAGCTCAATATCTTGTGTATGTATAAATTAAATTCACAATTAAAGGTAGACATGCCACATTGGGAAACAAAATCTACAAAGAATGTCTACTGGAAATGTCACATTGGGAAACAGTAATGATATCAATGAGGTTGACTAAAGCACTAGAAGAGATCATCCTTCAAACAAGTTCTTTGACTAGAGAGTATCCTCGTCATTTTATGATACAAAGGATCATATTAGACTGGTCAAACTGCTAAAAAGTGAAGTTTAAAAAATTAATGCAGCTTGGACAGTCACTAACTCTTCACTTGTGGAACTCCTCGGTACAATTATCAGAGGAGTATCGAGAGAAAGATCCAGCTTTATTGCAGTGGCTCCATCAATCTCATATTTCTCTATGAACCACTCAATCCCTCCAACTTTATCTACAAACTTAATAGCTTCCTCAGTATGTGGAGTGGCAAGCCCCATAAAATATGCAGTTATCTGTAAGAGCACATATAGAATTAGTCAGTTCAAAGATATGGCCAACATTTTCACTCCGAATTTTCTGTCATACAGTAGGCTGAGCTTATAAAAAAAGATGGAAGTGTAGTTTTCTCATTTAATCTTCACAAAAGAATAAAACCAATTGGTTCCCCCACAAGACATAAGGACTTCATTTGTTCTTTTCCAGGTTTGACTAACTATTTAAAGAACAGGAGAAAGCAAGCGAAACACTAGAGTAAAATGTGTTGCTACAATGAAAATAAATAAATAGACAAGCTTACCTCTTGAACAAACCTATAGAGGAAAACAATTCGAACTGCAGATAGTCGGCCACACAGGCTATATTCATACCCTTCATAATCATCGTCTTCAGAATTGTGAGAACTAAATGCAAACTGGGAAAAAAGGATGTTCTCTTAGTGCCAGGAATATATTAGAGTTTGCACAAATGGAGTGGTGAGTAATGAGTGTAATATTTTGTGGGTGTGTGGGCAGACCAAGTGCTTGTGTACGATATCCATTTCCCAAAAGCAAAATATGAGACCTCTTATTTTGGTTTATACTACTCAAATAAACCAAAGTTCCCACACCAACAAGGACAAAAATACATGACACATATTTCCCACTCTCAATTTCAGTCTTCTTAATAAAGCTCATATAGAAGTTCAAAGTATAGTATTTCATTCTTTTTTCAAATAGATCAAAAACGTTATTATTCATTTAGAAATTAATGAAACTCATATACACATTGACTGGTCCACTGGATATCATCTCCAATCCTTTGTAGTAGCTGTCCAAATATACAAAGAAACTGCCAGTACCTGAATCAGTGATTCAGTCCCTTGATTACGTATATCACAAAGCCATCCCCATTGCTGGTTTGATCCTAGTGTTAGATCACAAAGTCGGAAGTTTCCCAATGTGCCTTCTATGGAAGTAGAACTAGGATGAACCTAATAACAAAACTGTGTTAGCCTAAAATATTTTAGGGGACTCGGACAAGGATAATAATCAAAATTATAACAAGGTAACTAAAGCAAATAACTTCACATAACTTGCCAAAATAAAGAGGTTAAAAGAAAAGCTTAAAAAATGTCCCACCTTAATATCAAGCATAAAGCATTCTTGCACAAGCAATGCAAGCTGAGAACCATCCTCTTTGTTAAGGAAAATTGTAACACTGTCAACATTCATGTTCAAATTAAATACAACACGGCTTTTTCCATAACCTAGCAATCCTTTTACATATTTATGCACATGCTCTTCTAACTTCTCTTTATTAATAGCTGACTCATCCACTGGATCTTTTGTGATGTTTTCATCAGCAACTCCACTGCTTTCAGAACTCACATCAATGGCGAAATCAATCAAAGCAACAAGAGTAGGTCTGTTGCAAAAAAATTCCAACTTGGACATACTAATAATCATCTGCAACCATAAAATGTGACGAGGAATTAGAGCACTAACCAATAAGTATTAATGTAAGAGTAATCAGCATATCTATGTATTTTGCTTATTAGCATAGATTTACTTCTCCGCGTCAAAGCACATCCAAATTACCTGTGTATCTATACCATTATAGTCAGGAGAGCTAGGTTGACGTGAAATGTATGAAAGAGAGACAAAATCAGAGTAATCAGAGCTTTGTGTTTCATAAAATACTTCAGCAAAGTCACTTCTTCCCTTAATTGAATCCTTCTCCGGGGTAATGGCTTCACCATAATCAGGTAATGATAGGAAATCTTGTAAGGCATCCTTGAATACATCTTCCTCTTCCCTTGTCATGAAAGCCAGCTCCTTGCCATGGGAATCTGTTGTACCAGGCGAGGTAGCTGCAGAGTGATCTGGCAGAACAGAGCAAGCCAAGTATTGTGGACCTGAAGATAGAGAATACTGAAGTTCATCCTTAATTTTCAACGAATGCAATTTCATCTTTACTGTTAGGTCACCACTACATTGTGAAACATGCACCTGCACAGAACACATACTTATCAGATCCAAAGGATGGTTGTATTACCATTCACAAATTAGGCAATTAGCAATGCACAGAGGCTATGTGCCTATGTATAAAAACGAATGTTATGAATAATACTCCCACCATCCCACTATGTTTTTCCGTCCCACTATTCTTGTCAAATATCATATTTAGTAAGAATTGTGTGGCTCACAATCATTCCTACCTTTTCTTACTACTTTTATTTAATATCAACCACAAAATTTTACTTTTCCTAATTTGTGTGCCACATCCCCTTGTCCCAAAAATAATGGGGGGGACGGAATAACAAAAAAAACAACCCAGTAGAACCTCACAAAAGCAGGGTCTGGGGAGGGTGTGTGTAGGGACTGTAGGCAGACCTTACCTCTACTAAAAGTAAAGAGGTTGTTTCAAAGGACAGGGTAATAACACATTGTTGTAATTAGGGGACTTTATCTATACAAAAAAGTTGTTGGAAAAACATTACTAATATAAAGAAAAAAATTATCATATACTCCTTCCGTCCCACAATGAATTTACACTCTTCACTATTCAAAAATTATGGAAATTTTTGTTTGTTTGTGTGTTTTCATTGATTAAATGATAAAATAAAGTATATTGTTGTAGACCTTTTGATGTACTTTTTAAATATGCAAGTTTAAATTTTTATTTCTATACCAATCTTTAAATATAATGGATTGAAAAAATTTGGAATTTTATTCCGTTTTGCGTAAAATGTAATTCATTTAGGGACGGAGGGAGTAAAAGTTACTATAGAGGAATTTTCAATATCCTTGAAAAATACTGCAACAACTAAGAAATACTTCATAATACACAAAGGTCGTTTATAGAATTATAGCAATAATAAATTAATGTAAATATGAGTCCACTATGAGAACAGTTAAAACTTATGATTTGCTCAAATTTATGTGTTCAAAAGAAAACAATTACTACTAGTTAAACACATGTCTTATATTGGCAAAGTGAAGGGAGAGAATCAATAGAATTTGCAAGTAATCCACATTGACCTATGTCGATTGGTATGCTTATAGTTGGGAATATCTGTTTATGCACACATGCATAGCGATTTATCATAACTCCCATGGAAACATATATTCAAACTCAAGACTACATTAAAGAATTGAGAGCTCAAACCTTTCCACCAACTGCAAGAACCTCAAGGATTAGTGTTTCATCATATGTATTGTCAATCTCATCTCCACTCTACAAATTGGTAAAAGGATTAGACAAAATGCACCATTACCACATGCATTGTATTAAAGCCATCAACCACAACAACAAAAACAACATCAACCACATTTGCCAAAATATAAATTTCCTTACCAGGATGGAAAAAATAAAAGAGGTACACTCAATATAACATGAAAGTGAAAGATCATTAGTAATGAAAAAAATACTGAGCCACCTCACCTTCCCATACAGTGATAGCTTCATCTCTACCAATGATCCATTAACAACAAGTTCAGCCATATCTTCATTTATAGAATGGGTCTCAGCAAGTTCTAACGCACCGTCACTTAGCTCTCTAAGTATATTAACTGATGGGGGAGCCTACACCCAAACACAGAATGTGTAACATTCCAATTCTAAACAAGATAAAGGCCAAGAGTTTAAAAAGAAAAAGAAAACAGCAAACAACTTTGATGAATTAACTTAAATCTTACAGAAGCTCGATACGTAGCTCGTACAAGTGTTCTTAACCAAGTAGTTTTTTCCTCCTCATCACGAAACTCTATTATCAGTGTGCTAAATGACTCCAATGCCTGGAAAAGCATAAAATAAGAACTATGAACCTAACTAAACACTAAAGAAACAAATACAAAGCTCAGATACAGTAGAAATCAAATCCATTTCTCAAATACGAATTTGTGTGTTAAATAGAGGACAAAACCATGCAATAAGCTAACTTCTAATTTCATGTAAGATAGGGGTTTGTCACATTCGAAGATGAACGAAACAGGAGCAACATAATATAAAGCAGCAAGTGGACTAACCCTACCAAGCATATTCCATATAAGCCCTCGTACAAACAACAAGACTTGTGTTCCTTTTGATGGAAATGAAGAGACTTCATTCAATGGGATTGAGTCACAAGACTACTGTTTTGTTGAGGAATGGAAATGGGTGGTGCAGTGTTAGTTTAGTGTTGTGCTGAAAGGTTTATTTAGACTAAATAATGTTTTTGACACCTTTGTGGAATGTGGATATATAATAATATATTATCGTTGTTGTTCTTTTTATTATTTTTATTACTACTACTATTATTATTATTAGATCAGGTCGGGCTGGCCCGTGGGCTTGAACATAGAGCCCCTCAGCCATTAAGTTTGTGGGCCCCCGTTTTTTATGGACAAGGCCAACATGTTCCCAAAACGTTTAAATCCCAAGCCTATTATTTTGCAGGTGGGCTTTTGTGGGTTGGGTCGGGACCCGAGCCCATGATCGGTCTAGTTCTATTTTATATACCTTGTGCAAATTCTTACGGTATTAGATACTCATAAATTCATATGGTCAAATCTCCTTGGATACACATGTCGGCACATCCTTGGTCCCATTTTAAGGATATATTTATTTTTAATGATAAAAAACCTTTGCACAACAAAAAGTGTTAATGCACCCAAATATATCAGGCATTTCGTTATTAACAAAATTTCCACAGTTAATACACATTTTAGTCCCTCTAAGACTTCTAAGTGCACGTGTGAGTCAATTTGGTCCTTGTATGTTGTGTTGAATCTTAGTGGTGTTACTGAAATGCTGAGTTGGAAGACTTGGAACATTAATTGACACAAGAAACTAACACACGGGTCATTTCCTTGTGTCAATTAATGTCTCAACTCAACAAATCAGTTTCATTGTTAAGGTAAATTTTGTTAGAGGGACTAACTTCGTTCAGATTTTTTAGCTACAAGGACTAATTTGACTCAACACAATATACATGAACCAAATTGACTCACGAGTGCACTTAGATGGACCAGAATGAGTATTAACTCAATTTTTGCCCGTTAAACCAAAATAAACCAAACATACCCAACATGTCCCGTCTAGAGGTAAGGTCTAGAGAGGGTGAGATGTAAAAAAACCTTACCTTTATCCTAGGAGTAGAGAAGTTCTTTCTGTCAATAACCTCAGCTAAAAAAAATTTGGATTGTTTTGGAAGATGTTGAAACTTTTTAAAGTAAGTTTTTAAGTTAATGAAGATTTTTGTAAATTTTTTGAAGTAGAAAAAACGGACACCCAAAGAACGCAATATACAACAACAAAGCCTTATCCCACTAAGTGGGGTCGGCTACATGGATCAAACGACGCAATTGCGTCCTATCATGTATCATATTTGTTCTGAATGCAGTATGAACAACGTAAAAAAACTGTGTAGGAAAAAAAAGCAATAAAACAGCATAAGGCAGCTTCAAGAGGACAAGAAAAGTAAAAACTACTCCCTCCATCCACTTTTTTTCTTCCCGGTTTGGCCGGACACGCATATTTAGATATAGGAGAATTACATTGACTTTCCCAAAATACCCCATCTCCCTCCCCTCTCCCTCTACAGGCAGTCTACACCACAATGGCTACTGACTCTGCCACCAAAGTAGTCGCCCTCGCTGGCCATCTCTTTCATACATAACCATCGGCGTTCTCGTCTCCGATCTCATCTCCATAGTGGGTAGGGTTCCCTCCGGTCTATAGCCATCTCTGACCTCATCTTCATTCTTATCTCTTTAGCGGGCACAATTTGACCCGCTCAGAGTTGTAGCATCCTAGGGAGGAGATGAGGACGTGATTTATAAACTCAGAAGAAAGATAAAATCAAAACAGAGAGTTAAGCGGAAATACCGATATAGAGGATGACGAATCATGTTACAGAAAAGAATTTGACCGCAGATGAGAAATTGGAGAAAAGAGTTCGGAGATGAGGATAGATGCGGCAATGCGACTTGATAGGAGAGATCCGTGAAGACAAGGCTGGATTTTTTCAGTCCTATCGAGTTGAAGCTGGCTCCTTCACATCTGATGAAGATGAACTCGATTTTGTTCAGATTTGACAACGAAAAAGGTTTGAAGATGGCAAAGGAGAAGGCAGGCGGAGGAGAAAGAATATGTCGGATGAGGAATCGAAGAAGATGGCAGTGAAGGAAAAAGAAGTTAGAGAAAAGAAGAAATGGGAGAAAAGGAAGATATGGCGGACAAGAAATCTGAAGAAGAGTGAGAGTGAGTGCATTATATAGGGGTAGGTGTAAAATACACAATTTAGTGTATTTTCTTTGCCAAAAAAGGAAACAAGAAGAAAATTATGGACAGTCCAAAAAGGAAAGTGGGAAGAAAATTTGTGGACGGAGGGAGCATGTATAACAAAGTAAGCCCCCAAATATTTCAAAGGTAGAGAATAAATGTACAGTATACTGATGAAAATAATGAGATTCACCTACCTTCTGTAGATCCATGCCTCTGACACTGACAGCAATGCATGATGGGGAACCCCCAACATTTGTCTGAGGAACCTCAAACACCTGTCTACCAGCCACGCTGCAGTATTGAACATTTTAGAAATATATGGATTTAAATTCCCAGAGCACCTCCATTAAAAGTTGCTATAATCTGAAAACCGAGAGTTCAATAGCTCATTGAGTCAAAAAGACTTTGAATAGAAGCTGGACTTCCAAAGCAAAAGACTTTAAACTCTTCATCACTTAGGTAGCTCTCATTTTGTTAAATATCTAATTGTCTATGTAAGAGCCACTGAATGACACAGATTATATTAAGAATATTATTATCATCTTCATAATGTTCTCATTATTCTATTCTTATATGCAAACCATGGAGCATGACCAAGTAGCTGCAGCAATTGATAGATGAAACTGAAAATGGGGGCACCTTGAACATCTTTGATAAGTGTGAGACCCTTCAGACTCTAACACATAAAGGTACAATCCAGAAAGCACAAGATAACATGGTTGCCAAGCAGCAATGGAATATCCAATTCCCTGAATCAACAATACATATGGCTTATTCCATGACAAGATAAAATGTTGGATAATATAAAATTCCAAAGAAGTTGCATACCTTCCATACAAGTATCCGAGCATCAGTTGCTAGATCAGGTGGGTGCCAGGGAAAAAGTTCGGCTTGTGCACTTTCAAAAAGTGGGTGCTGTTCAGTATCGGGGATTGTGCGATGGAGTATATCAAACAATTCCAACAATCTGTGAAGTCTAGCTGGTGAGAAGTGAACTCCAATGCTTGGAAGTTGAACAGAGACGCGTGTTGAAGAATGGCTGGAATGAGGATTTTTAATCTTCAAGAGGAAAATATGGAGTTCATAAATTAAGGGGAAAAAGTGTGACTCACAGTAGTTAAAAGACCACTGCCTAAATAATTAATGACACTTTGTGTCACACACCTGATCTACAATTACAGCCATTCTGCATCTATCAATGAGGGAATATATATTATTAATGTCTTCCAAAGTAGGAGAATTAGAAGGTTGAGATGCCAAAGAGCAGGTTTGATGATCTGAACCACAATCTGTGAAGAATGCTGCTATATCCCTTCCAGAGATATAAAAACGAGAATACAAACTTTGTCCCTGCTCATGGGATTGTCCATCCTCCTAGAATCAAGAAAAGCTCATTTAATCAATCATGATGGAATGTGAAAAGCCAACTTAGAGTTTTAAAAATTCACACCTTTGTTTGCAATGTAAAATGCCCAAAGTCTAAAAGGAGATGGCTATCACATTTACAGGAGAGATGTGATATCAAAGGAACTCTAACTTTTGGAGCATCCAAATCAATATCAAGAGCAAATCTGCAGGACAAGTTATATCAGCAAGAAAGCCCAAGCTCAAATTGAACATTGTCCCCATTAAAGGTGCTAGTCACAATATTATACGCAAAAAAGAAAGTAATGTGGAGAGCCTGTTAAAAGGCAAAACCTGCTTTGCTCTTCCAATGCCATTTGAAACTGCTCCTGCGCTCTCCGAGTCATTTTTTCAAATTTATTCTGCACTTGTTTGACGCTAGTATTAGTATTTAGCAACACATAATTTCAATATGGAAGCATATTGGCATTACAAGAAGTTCAATACATGATGGCATCACCTGGAGTACAGTTGCAGTTTCTACTGCAAGAGTGGGGCTAATGGCATTGCTCCTGTTTACAAAGTCTAAGAATCGATAGTAACTCTCCATGAAAACCTATCAATCACACTGGAAGGTTGGTGTTGTTGTTGTAGGGTATTTTAAGAAGCTGGTAAGAAATATAACTTCATAACAAGATGTCAAAATTGAGATACAAAAGTTCAAAGCATCAAAATGCATCAAAACTTTGACAGAAGAAAAAACAATGCATCCATCGTACCATGTGTGTGAAAGGGTGGTGAGCCTTTACAAAGGCAATGTGTTAAATGTTACAGATGTATAGATTGAGATATAGGTATTCAAAGCATTAACACTTTGATTCCGTGCCTTATGTGCATATAGCATGGTGTGACTAAAAGAAGGAATAGTATAACTCACTGTGACATGAGATGGAGAAATCCTTGCGGATAGCTTCCAATCAACATTTTCTCCGGATGGTGAGTGCACAAAACTAGCTTCTAATGCATTTACCTTCTGCTCACTACAAACACTCTGCAAATACAATATATACTGCCTTAATAAATATAAGCTAGTGAAGATATAAATATACTACCCAAACTCATTTGCTGCATTGCTATTGCTTGAGTTATTTATTTATCTAGTCCCGTGTTAAGAACCAGATACCTAACAAACCAGCAAGTTGAAAGTAGTACAAATAAATTATGCATTTAATTTTTTTCAAAATTTAATCAACGATAATACAAAGAAACTACAAATTGCATTTATATACTTATTTTCAATAACAAGAACAACAACAACAACATTACCCCAATGCCTGAAAGGCTCCCATCCATTGCGAGGTAGGGGGTGAGATGTACGTAGCCTGACACCTATGTTTAAAACAGAGACTGTTTCCAAATGACCCATGAGGAGTGTCAAAAGTTGCATAGACTAACTGCGTAGACAGTTTAAAGAGCCATTTTGCTCTATTCCACCATACCCCAAAGCCAAAAAAAATTGAATCTTTGGGAGATGATGGAAAATGACAAAAAAAGATAAACTCTACATATTAAATTGACTATCAATCAAAAAATATGAGATGGTATAAAAGTGTTCCAGGGTCTAACAAAAACAGCCTCTGTTTTCCAGGGGTAAGACTGTATCACTTAACCCCCCCAACCCCAACGAAGTTTGAATTCTGCTGGGTTAGTGGGTTATTGTTGTTGTTGCCGTTTGTTAACTGAAACAATATTTCATCCAAGAAAAAAACTAAAGCTTGCGGTGAGTGAGGGTTGCTCAGATGGTAGAGTGCCTCCACCCATGATGGGTTCAAATCACACGGAGGAAAAGTGTAGAAATACTATTGATCCTCCTGGCAGGGTAAAATAACAGAATAAAATTAAACTAAAGCTTGTAAGGTATTTCCACCCCAATATAACAACAACAACGATAAACCCAGTAGAATATAGCGTCGGGGGAGTGTGTGTGTGTGTGTAGACCTTACCCCTCTTCAAAAGTAGAGAGGTTGTTTATAAGAGACTCCAAGCTCAAGCACGCCCGAATATAACAATATTGTAATTAACTTATATTTAGTCATCAAAAAGAAAGGAACATATTGCCATCTGCAAACATGAATGTGGAGGAAAACAAGAACCTGGGCAAGCGAACCCTCAGGAGCAGACAGCCCATAAAATTTTAAAGAGACATCACATTGTATGGTTCGCTGCTTTAACTTGGTCAACAAGTTAAGATTTTCGAATCTCCCACAAAGAATTTCTGTTTGATCAACATTGATGATCGCTGCTGCTGCTCTACAAATAGAAACATTAATCAAATAGTGTGTCATATTATGTGTCTCCTTTCCATGTTGCAGTGCCAGATCCTCATCTGGCTGGTAACTTAACAATTTATTGATGGCTTGCCATTCATCCTTGGTCAATGTATCTTCTACAGATTTTGAGTCCTCAGAAGTCTCCCCAGCTGAGCAATCTTCTGGAGCAGCACGCCTGACTTGGCAATAAACATTAGATGACGTTAAAGATACGCTGATAACACCAAGGTGAAGGTCAACTTCTTAAATAGAAATAGCATTAAGAATACAGTGAAAATAAAACATGGAGTCACATATCAACAAGCTATAAACAAACCATGCAAATGAAAACCAGCTTCTGTTTTTAAGCATTCTTTGTTCAGCTGCTTCCTTTGATTTGACAGACTCCACTTTTGCATGAGCAAGAAACCTAGAAGATCATGCAAGTAATTGCATCAAGTGTCTTTTGCACTGGTGCATTACACACTAATGGTAGGGGGAAAAAACCTATTGCACACCTCCACAGTAGAATAACCTTGGGATCAAGATCCTGCTCGATGCTTCTTATTTTGGATTTATCAACATTTGACAGCTTTTGCAATAATTCAGCATATAATTGTACATAACACCGACGCAAATTACATAGATGTTTGATTTGATCCCACGAGAACCTGTAACTATTAAAGATGCAAATAAGCAATTAGTTGACAAAAAAAGGTGGATTTACATTATAACTTATTAAATAGATATTTAGACACCCTCATTTAAAGCATGATGTGACCTGTAGAGCATAATTCAGTAAACTCATATGTGTGTGTGTGTGTGTGTGTGTGTGTATGTAGGTAGGTAGGTATGTATGTATGTATGTATGTATGTATAAAGAATACAAACAATAGGGTATTGACGATGCACACATGTAACTTCTCCCGTTTTAGAAATGTACAGAGTAATATATAAACACCCAATGCCTTACCAAATTTTCTTTTGCTGCAATCCAGCGTGGGCAGCATAGCGCCACCATAAACTGGGTCTCTCTGAAACTGTAATTAGTGGTCTTAAATGAGAAACTTCTACATATGTGTTATAGTTTGAAATAGCCTCCACAAGTCTGATCCAGTCATGATACTGCATCTGTAAAACAATAAAATAATTTCCCACTCATTTCCAAGAGAAGAATGAGAGAACATGAGCTAGGAAGAGGAATATTCATGCCAGTCCTTCAACCAATGAAAAGGTAGAGTAGAAGAGAAAGAGCATTCGAGTTGGCTCGCAATCAAGCAGGGCTTTAAATCCAGAACTGAATGTTAGTGGATAAGTGGTGAGGAGAGGTGAACTACATTAATTGGATATCATGCATTTTTGAAAATGGTTGAATAAAAGAAGCACAAACTTCAACTTGAGAACTAAGGGGGGTGTATTCAATCCTGATTTTAAAAGACTCTGATAGATTATTTTGAATCCATGGATTTTATAAAATTCATGGATTATTTTAAATCTACACAGAATTAGATAGATTGTAGTGTATTTTATTAACAAGATTTTATAGGATTTCGTCAATTATTTATAATCCACAAAAAAATCAAGGCATCAAATTAGGGTTCCAAATCAAACCTAAATCGGAGAAGTAAAAACCCATAAAGTCCGCATTCCATCCCCAACTCTTCGATCCGAAACCCAAAATGGATCTCTCCCACTAGGCACTGCGATGTAAACTTGTCTCCAAGTTGGGTTTTTGCTCAGTTGATTTTCAATACATGAATCATTGCTTTTATGGGTTTTTATTTCTCCGAATTAGGTTTTTGATGAACTGGAGAGGATATGAATCGTGGAAAGAGGGGAAGACGATAGGAGTCCGGCAAAATCTCTCCTTTGTTGCTGGGATTTGTAATAATATTTTTATTTATACTTGAGCCTACCAAATCTTTCACAATCCACATGGAATAAAAATCCTTTAAAATCTATAAGTTTTTGAATACCACTAGATTGTAAAAGATTGTTCAAAATCTTAATTGAATACATCTAGATTTTAAATGATTTTTTAAAATCTCAATTGAATACCTACCAACTTTTGAAATCCAAAAAAATCCATCAAAATCAATATTGAATACACCCCCCTAAATCTAAGCATGCAACTGTAAGTTTAAGTCATCATCATTCATTAGATATTTAGATATAAAAACACTTTATTTAACAATGATCACAATTTGGATTGATCAGCACGGAAAATGAACTAGCATCCACTTAGTCAGAGTAAATGATTTATTATAAAGGGCCTAGTTAATTCATTATACTTCTCAAGATGAGAGCATACAAGGAGAATCTATAAGGCATTAGTTTCTAGCTATTGCTTTCAAATCTACAAACATGAAGACACTAACAGTGGAAGAGCTATTAGCCAAACACATTTTTCACTGAAAGCTGAAATACCAAAACTATCAACATTTAGCACCTCTGTAGCTGTCAAAGAGACATCACTGATAATCAAAGAAGCCTGCTCATAAGGAACACTAGGATCACTTCTTTCTTGGTTTCCCAGCCGGTGATATTTAAGTACCCCATTGATTGGATATACCAAGTAATTGTGCTCCCTATTCCATGCAGATACCACCGTGTTGATATTTGTCGATTCATTAATGCCATTTTCAAATATCTAAAAGGAAAAAGAAGTGTCATTAAAAAAGATTAAGCTTACATATGTTGCTTAATGTTGAGAAGAAAAGGGACGTTGGTCTCTAAATCTTGATTTCATCCAACTATATACAATGAATAAATAAAGGGACAGCCAGGAACAAGGAGAGAGCTATAGATATGTTATGGGTAGGGCTTTGAGTCTATTAGTATAACTATAACAGTTGTACTTCAACATTTGCAATAAAAAAATAGACACATATCGATGCAATAAAAAGAAAAAAACATTAAGTAAAACAAGTACATGAATGTACCTCAATCCATTCTGCAGGTGTAAGATCCTCCCATTTCTTGTCTAGCTTCCATGGCTCAGTGTTAGTATCATGGTATACAGCAAGCCTTTCAAGTTGAACCAACTAGAACAATAATGTCAGCATAGTTCAGGCCTCAAATTAAATTTCCAGACCATATAGTGAAGATTAATAATATATGAAACGTGATACAGAAAAGCCTTGACAAGAAAGATCATACTATTTTTTATGATGAAAGAGAATTTGAGATAGCCTAGACATGTCCTAAATTGTTAGAGATAATAGTCTTTGTTCCTGACAAACTACGGAACTAGAAAACAAAAAATTAAATATTATTCCCACATATATAGAGAGCAAACCATTGTGATTTCAGTTAACATGCTTTGAACATGGATTTTGATATGCATAACACATGGACTTATGCTTTACCAGGACCTGATCAAGAATCCAAAATGTTCACAAGATAGAAATGTAGATTGCTATTTCTATGGCGGTGTTAGGCTTTGATTCAAATTTTAAGTTTTTTTAGAATCACTAATTAGAATCTCCCAGTGCATGAGATAATTATTCCTATGATGTGTTAGACATTGCTTCCACTGTATGAAATAGAGAACTGCGCAAGAGTGTTAGATAATCTTATGTTGTGAACTGATACGATGACCTGAAAAGGTAGGGTAGTCCTTGTATACACTTGTTTTGATTAAGGAAGCTGCATATGTGAAATATATTTGTTTTGAATGAGGTTATTTTACAATCAAGTTTAGGTAAGCATGTCCTACTTCTCCAAAACCTGTTACAGACCTCCATGAGACTATGACAGATTTTTCAACTACCATCTGAACACTAAAAAGGGCAGCGATTATATTTACTCTTTGAAGGAGCAGACAAGCAGTACCAACAAACAGATCCAAACACCGTTACATGTAGTTGTGAGCCATCTTTCTTCCTATCCACAATCACTATCCTACTACAGTAACTTAATGCAGTAACACGAGTATGAACATATCAAAATAGGCACCAGCATTTTAAATTGATGTACACCAGGGAAAGTGGCATACGTTGCAATTGAAAATATTGAAATGTGTGAAAGAGTTCAGAAAGCATTTTTCTTATTTACAGATCCCTACAAGAGGGCTTATTTATAGGAAAAATACAGTGATGTCATCAACAAATGTCTAGTTGTATTTGAGTGGAGAAAACCCAAACCGTTTTCTGTCTGAAAAGGAATGCATGTGAGGGTGCGTAGTGAGGTTTTTGACGATGAGACACAACGAGAAGATGTGTACAGCCGTGGGTTCAGATTTTGCGGACCACTACCACATAATAGCATTCATGGTAAAAGTCTACTTTTCACATCAGAAAAGACTGTTCATGCCGGAAAAACAACCTACCCTTGGAGTCTCGCAAAGTGCAGTCTGGGGGAGGGTTTAGGTCGGCCTTACCCTTACCCTTAGCCAAAGTGATAGATAACCAAAGAGGTTTCCAAAAGACCTCCGGCTCGAACACAAAGAATCATTTATGTACATAACTACATATACAATTCATATACAGAGCAAGAGTTAAGGTGTTTTCCTCGTAATTAGATCTACGAAAGAGACCTTATTTAAAGGAAAAATATAGTAATGTCATGATGGCATAACTGCTGATGTCTTCATGAGGTATGCAATGATCAAAGCATGAGGTAATCAAGAGAGTTGTCAAGTTTTGTGTAACCCCAATCTACTTTTCCACAAAAAATAACTTCACCATATTATGAACATTTTGTAAGGCTTGTCTATTTTCCACAAAAAAGAATCTTAACCAGATCATGAACCTGACCTTGCGTAGTTTATCCAAAGCACCACTTGTATCGAAGGTTTCATTGCCTTGCTCATCCATTGTCACCGCTGCGAGCTTTGCAAGAGTAATACCACAACAGAATGGATACCCGGGATGGCTGCTTGAAGGTGGCCAAAAGAAAAACAAAATGAAGTGACCCCCAAAATTATCAAAAGAATGGGAGAAAGCTAAATGTATAAAACTTAGTTCATCATTTCAACTTCCAAAAGATTTCAAAAATTTCAAGCAACAACACAAATCAACCTGACAGAATCCTCATATCTGACATGAACATTGCTAATTGAGATTTTAAGATTTCCAATTATTGTAGCAATTAATGATCCCAGCCAAGAATTTCCTACAGCTGGCTGAAAAGAAAAAGAAGAACAAATAAAAAATGAAGCAATTAATGGCAGTCAATGTCACAAATTGCTACATGTACTAAACAAATAAATGGATTCATGGACTCTATCTAAAATTTGATAAGCTTAAAACAGAATGAAATTGGAGTGCTATGATTCTTAAAGAAAATTTATGGCTTATTAAAGAGCATTATTTTCCTAGTCTCAAAGAAAAAATCTATCTAAATAAGAGGTTATAAAATATAATTGGAGAAGTTGTTGCTTGCCTGAACAGGAGAGTTGTTTGGATATCTAAGCACTACTCATCTACAAGTAATATTAGGATAATCAAAGTACACAAAAGGGTGCACATGTATCACATTAAAAGTCCATCTTTTATGTTTAAAGGAACATCAGAATTGTGTCGGTGAAAATGAAAATTTGGAAAAGTGAAAACCCAAAGAGGAACAGCCATATATTTTCCTCGTATCTCCCCGAAAAGATTTTTGCAATTAATACAGTCTAATTTTAATTTTTTAGCTCAGTGCAATGATCAAGTTGTTACATGTTCCATAATAAAAGAAACCTGAAAGCAGGCAGCAACATGGGCAAATTAAGATAAATTTAGAACATTTTAGACTATATGAGTGTTGACCATGAAAAAATACTTCAACAAATAGAAACTACAAATCAGAAACAATATTATACATTTCCTCCAAGCTTTGACCTTGATAGTGCTTCAAGGGTGGCCAATTCTGCTTCCTACATGAAAAGTAAGGAATATTAACTAGCAATCAAACATGTTATGCCAATCTGACATCCAGCAAACAAAAATCAGAAGTTCTAGACCGGCTTTTATTTCAATAGCACATTAGACCATTAGTCCCAAGAATGGATTTCCTATGAAGAAATATTTGACGGAAGAACATATGAAATTCAAGACTGGCTGTTATTTCAAATTAGAAATTGTAATCATATGGGAAACAACTACTGTTAGAAAGAGTTCAAGTAGAGTACAAAATATAATTAGTTTTACCTCAATCTGTTGGAGTTTGGCCTCAAAAAGTTTTTCCCTGTCCTCTTCCTAAATGTAACCACAACTATTAATCAGCTATGACTATAATCTAGATATATATCACTGACTAGAATCAGAAATGAGTAAATTATCCCTACCTTAAGAGATCTACCAACAACAACAGGATGAGCAAGAACGAAAACTCTATCAATGAGAACAATAACGGGCTCTTTTCCGAGGCTTTTCCATGGAACCTGTCTTTGTTATAAAATAAATAAATAAATAAATTTGGAAAAGCAGCATGGCCCGATAAATCCTGTGGATATAGGATAGTGACATACACAATGCAAAATAAAAAAAGTAACGCTAACCATGACCATTAAGGCATTGATGTATGATTTGGAAAGCATAAATTTCTATCATAACATGAAAAAATAGAGCATATCACAACAAACTCAGTATCCAGACGATCATAGTATTTGAGATATAAAAACATTTGGAACCCAGAAAAGGGTTGTCAATCACGCAACGGAGAAAAAGAGGCACTGAAGAAATAAAAAGATAAACCATCAGGACCAAGGATAATGGATGCACTGATGCAGATAGTCACTCCAAGAGATGTAACAAATACACAGTCCCCACATCTTACACCTTACCAGACTCAAGATCCAATCTACTGCCTCCAACTTATTCACTAAATCTACATTCAGCGTCATCTCCATCATTTTGTAGTTGAAGCTCATGTTAACTCACCCGAATTGCCTCCTACCTGAGTTGTAGGTCCATCACTTCATCTATTACTTCTTAAGTTGTCACCATGTCTATACCTCTTACTATGCATTTTCAGCACATTTGTATTTTGAATCTGTCTCTATAACCACTTGTAAGGCCCTTTCCTATATGTGTTAGTGCCAAGCTATCTTGACCAAGATAAAGGCTCTAGAATCGAGTTATACTAGGGAGTTAGTCTCTCTTCCCAGTTCCCACAGTGATAGTTGTTGGGTCTTGGGTGCAGATGGATGAATGGACCTATACTGTAAAGGTTGAGTCAGATTGTATGATTGATCTTCTCACTGACAAGTTAATTGCAAGGAAATACTCAGATTTTTGTTCTCACTACATGGATATGTTCTCTCCTGTGACAAAAATTGCATTTGTTCAATCAATCTTAGATATAGTTAAGTCATTGGCCCCTATATAAAGTTTGTTGCTTATGTTCCCGCTTTAGGAAAGTGTTAGATATTGTATCCCTAAACCTAATAATAGTGGAATTGGCCCATTTTGTACATCTTTGATCTATGAATTATAAATCAGAAAATTTTTTACTGACTTCATTTGTCAAAACAATATACTTCTCCTCTTATTCAATAGAATACAAATGGTTAGGGGCAGCCATGTCTCCGCGTCACTTATTCTCTAGGCAGAAAAACTTATAGGGATTAGGGAGAGCCTTTGGAGCTGACTTTTGTAAACATTGTGTGTTGTCTCTATAGACATTGTTGGTGAAGGTAGTATTCATGTAGGTAAGTTCTATGTATACACAAGAGAGATGATTCTGTTAAAGAATACAAAGTTACGCACAAGAGATGAAACTGTCAAAACACTCACCACGGAAAAAACAAAATATAATATATACGGGATATACATATATATAATTATATAAATATAACACAATAGTGTGAAAGGGTGATGAAGAAAAAAATGGGGGGAGGACTTAAAGTGGTAGTCGACCGAAGAAGAAAGCAGTTAAACTTAAAGTGGCTCAGTGGTACAGAGATTAATTTAAGATATTAATCATTATATAGAAGTAGAGAATTACCTTTAGGGTTATAGTACCTACAAAACCAGCTTTTACAGTTATTGGTAGTTTCAGTGAATTCAGTGCTTCTGCTTTTAACTTCAAATCTTTGAGAACCACGTCACCTATAGAAAAAAGCATTAGTGTCAAAGAAATTTACAGTAATAATATAAATTGTTAAATAAGATGGATGGGAAAAAACCTATCCCTTTGAATTAACTATTACTCCATCCGTCCCAATGTATTTGACCACTCTATCCATTTTGTCTTTGTTTTATTGGTTGATGGACTAGAGACCTCCGTGATGAAATTCATTCATCCGGGAAGCAAGTTATGTGTGTTCTTTTTTGCTTTTCTTATTTCCCTTGGAAATAGTGAGATCATTCAACGGGGTGAAGTTTTTCACTTTTCCTTTTTTTTAATAAAAAAATGAGATGACATAACAGCTGACTGAGAGAGCTGTTCAAACCGGCTAACACAATCAATCGGCTGTTGAACGCCAACACCCAACTTCAAGACAAGGCCATATCGTTTAGATATTTTTATCAGAACTCCAGTTAGCATAAAGAATAAATATTGAGTGAGTGCACAGGGGAGATTAGATGGAAAAGTATAGAGGAAAAGAGTTGAAAACCTTTCCAGACACTTATCCGCAATGTCTCTGCTGAGAGTCCATGGACGTATTCACCCAGGTATCTCCTAAGCAAATGTAAGACCTACATCCGTAGATAACAAGTATAGTTTAATAAATTCAAAGCACACACGCCCGTGACCCGTCATGTTCGGCTTGTTATTGATCATTATCAGTTCATCTCAAAATTAAACAAGAATATACAAAATAGAGCCAATAGGAAACGAAATGACACGCAAATGGAGCAGAAGATGCGATTGAGAGGAAAAAAAATATTTACATGTGCTTCGAACATGATGAACAAATGTGATCCTTCAAGGCTGCTCAAGAGTTGATCGCTGAGAAAGATGGTGATCGCTCTTCACAAACTGCCATTGAGAGGATGAAATCAGAGCTGTGTGGATGTATGAAACCCTACCGATTCGTGAGAGCATATGCACGCGCATAATCATCTGAGAGTCTGATTAAGAAAACGTTGAAATCCCACTGCCTTTGAGATGTGGAAGACAAATACGGAGTAGAACGTGTATGGCGAGGCCGGAAGGATCCTGTTTGGCAGTATCTGAGCCAGGCGGATGCATCGCCAACCGTCCGGTTATTTGAACCGGTCCAATTATGGGTCTACTACAGTTGGGATGTCATGTGGCTACGCTGCTACACTTTTTTTTTTCGTGGCAATTGCAACATCCCAAGATAGAAGTCAGTTGGGATGTCTATCTAAGAGGCTGTGGTGGGTTTTAGAATCCATAACCTAGGAGATTAGGTAATTGCGTACCAAACAAGGGTTGAGTGCTTTTAAGTCACAAGACAATAGAGTGAATATATTTGCTTAGTCATGAACATGTCCTCCTCTCTTCAAGAGGGATGAGTATTTATATAATACATTTTGTCATATACTTTGTTTTCTAGACGTTACCTAAGACAAAACCTAGTGGGTCGGGTTCACAAGAATCGTATCTTTGCCTAATAATACAAGAAATGTAATTACAAATAGTATCGCTACAAATAATGTACAGGCGAATAATATCATAGATGCCTTGTGTGGGCCCGTTGTGTGTATAGGGTGTATAGGATCTCATGTCGGTGATAGGCCTACACTGTTTTACTTGCGGCAGGGGCGAGCACGTGAATCTGTCGTCGGATGACAGCCAAGTGAAGATTTGCCCGAGTCTGTCCCTGGGTATGAGTGCATGGATCCGGGTTGAGTAGAGGCGCAAGTCCGCGTATGGTTTCCTTTAAGTCTCGCTCAGTCGAGTAAGGTGTTTTTGGTCGAGTGCAGCTAATTCTTGTGATTGGACGGGCCTTTCAATGGGCAGTTATTGTTCTTGTTGGGTTGGATACCCCTGGTCCAGGGTATCCGTCAAGGTGTTTGTGAGTGATTAACTTGGGTGGAGTGATTTTCACAAAAGCTGAAAGCAGAAGCAACATATATCTACTTCTGTGAAATGGTGGTATATGTACAAAATGATAGTGAAGAAAAGTATAAGTTGGTATGCCAAACAAAAGAAAATGATTATCACTTAAAGCATAAGCTAAATTTTGAAAAGCATCGCACTGCCAAACACTCTCTAACTCTGCATACCTATTTATATTTTAAAATGAATCTGTCTTTATAACCACTTATAAGGTCCTTTCTTAAATAATCTATCAAAAAATCAAATAAGTTACAAAATTATGCAAAGAAGAATTCCACAAACTTGGTTGAGCTAAAGCGTGTCTAGCCAAACTATGAGCAACAATGTTCAAAACTCTTCTCAAAAGATGAAACGAACCCTTCAAAAAACAATTCATCAACTCAAAACACGAATTAAGAATTGAGAGAATAACAAACAAAAAATTCTCCCATGTTTGAGTGTTGAAACCAAATCCTCACAATCAGGGAAGATCTTTACATCCTGCACACCTCGAGATTTTAGTCATGTCATATCTTCCTTACATGCAAGTGCATTCGTCATCAAAGGCTCTTGGTCCCTCCTCTTTTTACCATGAGCTCATGCCAGAGATATCCCACCCACCTGGATTAAAGAGCACATAACCGAAAGAGATACAATTCTTCAAAGGTAACAAGCTAACGTAAAAAAAATATTGCAAGGACATTGGGTGAATGACAACCTCAGACCTAATTTCATTTTGTTACTTTTTGAATCACCAATCGATCCCTAACATTATAGATTTCGTATGATTTTTTTTGTAAAATATATATCAAATAGAATTTAGTCGATCAATTTAAAAAAAACCTTATCGATTTTGAACAAAGTGTAAGTTTCTTCTTTCCTTTTTATTTCGCATGTCTTTTTGTATCGATTATTTGTGTCCGATTTATGGTTGCCACCGTGTTTTGCAGGGATGACTTTATCATTAAGATGGAATGAAACTAGATCGACAAAATTAAGGTTCAATGCTTGTGTTCAAATGTATTAGGGAAAGTGCGCCTAAATTCTTCCAAGTATAGGAGCCTTGTGTGATCGGCAGTCGAGTAGTGTTAAGCGAGATCGGACTCGAGACACCCTCATATCGGATTGTGTTCTGATTCGCTTTCGATAGAGAATCGATGTAAATGTGCACCTTTAGAGCCCGAGCAACGAGGATAACGCCAAGCTAATAACATACTTGGACCCCTAGTTTGTTTCTCGAGTTGGGCCTTTTAGTTTGACTCCAAATTGGCTTCCGAATACCCCTTGTCTAGAGTATACATTAGCATCAAATGTTTATTAATAAATACTCCGTAATACAAAAATTTGTTCAATTAAATTTAAAACAAATCTTATCCAGTCCTAAATAATCCACATTCTTTCCCATGTCCCCCAGTTCCATAGCTTATCCATCTCAGAAGCAGCTCTTCATCCTCTCACATTGTCTTCGAATGGCTTCACTCGCTCAGCAAATTGGGGTGCTAAAATGCCCGTATTTCTCGAACCCAAGAGCCGGTGGCTCCTCCAAGAAATTCGCCCACATCCATTGCTACACGAAGAATCTAAGCGTAGTCTGCCAAGCAGCGGCGGCGTTAAGCAATGCCCAGACAAGAGAGCAACAGGATCTCAAAGAGATGTTTGAAGAAGCCTACGAGCGGTGCAGCACCGCTCCCATGGAAGGCGTCTCCTTCACCATGGAAGACTTCCAAGCTGCTCTGGATAAGTACGATGTCGATTGCGAAATCGGTAGTAAGGTCAGCCCTTACCCCTTAGTCCAGTCCGACGCTACCCTACGGTCTCGAGATTTGAAGCTGAATGTCGTTTAGTTTTTCTGATTCCCGCACAGTTACTGATGTGACAGAGTTTTGTTGAATTTGTGGGGATAATTTGTTAGTATGCTGCTAATATAACTGAGATTGAGCTTGAAGGCTTGCATTTTCATGAAGCCATGTCTGGATTTATTCTGCCATATTTTGAATTGGAAAAAAGAATATAAAAAATGCAGGCGGGGCTTGTCGGTTTGTTGGGATTAAGCTATTCTTTTTCCCTTTTCTGAAAATGAATAATATTGGCATTTAGAATTTGCTGGGAGGGGGTAGAAGTATCTGCAACTGTTAATTAATAAATCAATCTGTTTGACTACGAAATGGATGCTTAGTTGAAATGCCTGTCTAATCAAACCTGAATGATTGTTTTGAATCAAGGTTTTATGGGTTTTTCTGGAATGGATACTGATAGAGCAATTGTAATGATGAACGGGTTGCAAAGTTATTTCGTAATAAAAGCTTGTAAAAACACCAGAGTTTGTATTATCAGAGCATAATGACCAATGTTGCATTGTTTTAAATGGCTTGGTAGATAAAAGGTACAGTAACTAGGGTTCTCGCACATGGAGCTTTTGTTGATGTCAACACCAAATCACCGGCATTCTTGCCTCTTATAGAGGCATGCATCCACCCCATCAAGAAGGTAGAAGAGGCTGGCATAATTCCTGGCTTACAAGAGGAATTTGTGGTTATTGGGAAATATGAAGCTAATGATAGTTTGATTTTGAGTTTGCGCTCCCTCCAATATGACATTGCATGGGAACGATGTTGGCAGCTTCAAAATGAAGATGTAATTGTCAATGGAAAGGTACAAAAAGGAAATAGTATCCTCCACTCACCCCACCCCTGCTGTTTTGTACTCGTAGACTTTTACTATCTGGAAACTGGTTTAAGGCATGATATTTCATAGTTTTGAGTTTGTAGGTGGTTGGTGCAAACAGGGGTGGTGTCATGGCAATGGTTGAAGGCCTTCGTGCATTTGTTCCATTCTCACAGATGTCAACCGTTAGTTACACAATACATCTCGCAAACTTTCCATAGCCTTTTTGGGACTAACAAATATCTAAAAAGCTGTTTATGATATGATTTGTTTTGTTTTAAGAGTGAGTAGTAGTAACATTATAAAATGAACAAAATGAATCAGAAATCCACGGACGATGAGCTTTTGGGTAAGGAGATTCCTCTAAAGTTTGTTGAGGTTGATGAGGAGGAGTCTAGACTTGTGCTCAGTAACCGCCAAGCGACCATTGATGGCCAGGTGCAGTTTGGAGTTGGATCAGTTGTGGTGGGAACGGTTCAGGACGTGAAGCCATATGGCGCTTTCATTGATTTAGGAGGGATTAATGGGCTTCTACATGTTAGCCAGATCAGTCATGATCGGGTTTCAGATATTGCAACAGTGCTTCAACCGGGCGACACGCTAAAGGTTTGGAAAGCTCTAATTTGAATTGTGACAAATCATATCATATACATCTCGTCTCTGAATAGCTATTACATTGCTACTACAACTTGTTTTTGTGCATCTTCCAGGTCATGGTTCTCAGCCATGACCGTGATAGGGGCCGTGTGAGTCTCTCTACGAAGAAGCTGGAGCCTACACCTGGTGACATGATTCGTAATCCTACCCTCGTTTTTGAGAAGGTAATTAAGAGTTTGTTTGGCATGTGAGTTATGTTCAATGAATAATTCTTAAATGAGAAAGGTCTTATATCCTAAGCTATCTCAAGAATGAAAGTGCTCTTAACCCACTCCAAAATCAAAATGCTTTTGACCTTCTCAAGAAAAGTGCAAACATATTTTATCAAAAGGTAATATTCTGTCATAAGGAGAAGGGGTGTGCCATCAACACATTTTGTACTAACAAGTTGCCATTTAATTGCTGCGAAGGCCGAGGAGATGGCTCAAACATTCAGGCAAAGAATTGCTCAAGCCGAAGCATTGGCTCGTGCAGATATACTAAGATTCCAACCCGAGGTATTGATCATCATTTCAAGTTTTACTGATGCTTTTGGTGGTCTAAACACTCTAACCAACCTACACGTATCACTAATTGATGCTATGAATGCAGAGTGGATTGAGTCTGAGCTCTGATGGGGTTTTAGGCCCATTGGGCCCCAACTTCCCTGCAGATGGATTGGATCTGAGCAGCATTCCTCTTGCTGAAGAATCATTTGATTCGAATGAAATCCCCCCTGCTGAAGAATCATTCGATTTGAATGAAATTCTCCGTTCCGAAGATTCATTGTTTTGAGCACACATCAATTGTTTTATGTGACAGGTAATGCATGTAGGTAGTAACTGTAATACGGTTGGATGAATAGAGGCCTTCCTGAATTATGCTATAGTGAAAAATATTGATCAAAATTGTACACTTATTTGCGGACGATACCAAATGTAGATTTTGGGACTATATTTGAAAAAAAAAACTCCGAACTTCGGAAACAAACACCTCATCAAATTAATTATGATCATCTCCCAAATTAGAGTCCCATATATAGACTCTAGAGTTAGGGGAAGGTTCCCATGACATTGGTTCCCAATGTCATGGGATGACCCGGGGCGCTCCGGTGCCCGTTCGTAAAATTGACGGTTCCTACCTCCCCTAATCCCCCGGCAAACCCCCCCCCCACCCCGCTCTGCCCCGAACAAACCCCTCCACCCCCTCCAATTGCACCCCACAAGATGATTTTGACTTTGGAGTCAAATTTTGACTCCAAAGTCAAAATCATCTTGTGGGGTGCAATTGGAGGGGGTGGAGGGGTTTGTTCGGGGCAGGGCGGGGTGGGGGGGTTTGTCGGGGGGATTAGGGGAGGTAGGAACCGTCAATTTTACGAACGGGGCACCGGAGCGCCCCGGGTCATGGGAACCAAGGTGGTAGAGTTATCTCTTTTATTTAGTACTCCGTATATTTTTGCCCCCAATCCGACGGTGAATGGTAATTAACGTACGCAATGCAGGTAAGTGCAGCATGTGCGCTGTTGTTGGTATGGACGGCAATGTACGAAGTCGGTAGCTGCCCCTGCCCGGCAGTCTGCCTCGGCCAGGGCCGGCCCTATCATTTTATGGGCCTGAGGCCAATTTAAAAAATTTGACTTTTCTTGTACTTCCTCTCTCCATACGTTCACTATTCACAGAATCAAACTTTATTCACTTTGTTGGCCTATTTTCATTACCCATTTGATAAAATAATATAGTCATGTCACCTCTAGTTTTGTAGATCTTTTCATATATTTTTTTAATATGCAACTTTTATTTTCAAATTTTACATCATTTTTTATATAAAATGATTTGAAAATAACTTCATTCAAACATCGTAACGCTCAACGGGAAGTTTATTTATGGACAGAGGGAGTAATTATTTTTAAAAAAAGTAATATCATATGATGAATTCAAATGATTGAGTGTGTCATATTATTATTGTAATTTATATATTTATTTAAAATTGAAAGCTTAAAACTCTAAACTGATTATTTTTTGTAATAATACAGAGTATAATACGGAGTACTAGTATTATTAGAGAAAAAATAATTATGCCCCCCTTATGAAATGGGCCCTAGGCGGCAGCCCCCTATGCCTACCCCCAAGGCCGGCCCTAGCCCCGGCTCACACACATACCAAATACTCAGAAAAAAAATATTACTCCCTTTGTCCCAAATTATAATGCCTGTTCACTATTCACAGGGTCAAACTTCATTCACTTTTTTTCTCTATTTTTGTTAGCAAATTGATAAAATAAAATATTGTTGTCACTACTAGTTTTGTAGATCTTTTGATGTAGTATTTTGATATGTAATTTTTATTTTTTAACTCTATGTCATTTGTCATGTAAAATGATTTGAAAATAACTTCAGTCAAACATCGTAAACCGAAACAGGCGTTATAAAATGGGACGGAGGGATTACATTTTACTATTCAAAAATTAAAGATTTTTTATTTATAGGTAAGTTTTTATCAATTACTCTCTCCGTTCTTATAAGATTTTCACAGTTTGACTTTTTTGGTCAAATTGTGTTACCATTTGACCATATATTAAATATAATTTAAAATAATTAAATATTATAAAAATTTTATATTTAAAAATTATATTTTAAAATAAACATAATTTTAATAATTTTACATTATAACTAAATATACTATATGAAAACACGAAATTTAGCCAACCAAGACTAACGATAAGGTATGATCATTAATTAATTACTTGTTTACGGTGAGACGCGTACGTACGTATCCACTCTTGTTCATTCATTCATTGGGTCATCCATATGAAGAACTTACGTCAATAGTATTAAAACATAATAATTTTTCCTAAATAGCACTACATATACCTTTTTTTTCCAATGTATCACTTTTAGTCATTATCCATTAGTTATTATTTAAGTAAAATTTCGCCATTACTAGTCATTAAGGACATTATTAAATGCTATTTAGGGAATAGAACAATTTAAGTACTATCTAGAAAAATGACTTAATAAGTTTTAATGTTATTTAGTGCAAATATTTCTCATCCATATTCCATATACTCCGATCCGTACATATTCAACCGCAATGGTAATTAATATATAGTGTAATAGCAATAGTAATAATGCTCCATCATATCGAGTATTGATCGAGTATATATAGAAATGCATGCATGTGTACGTAGTGTGTATATTATAGACATGCATGCAATGGTAGGTCAGGATATTCATTCATTCATTCATTCATTCCATATATATATATATATATATATATATATATATATATATATATATATATATCTTAGAATTGTTGGGCAGGCAGGAAGGAAGGAAGAAAGCACAGTAATATAATTTACTTCTCATTCACTGTTAATTCACACTCTGCGCACCAGGAACGGGGCAGGCTAATAGCTACACACACACACATGCATGACCCGTCCTTTTCCATTTCATTAATTCCTTCTTATTATATTCATTCAATTCCTAACTGCATGCATTTAATTTAATTTCCACGTACCGCCACGTGAAGTACTCTATATTACTGTCCTCCCTGCCTGCCCTTACTGCATTATATTAATTGATTAAACTTCCTTATTCCTTCCTCTCCGGCTCTCCTTCCAATTTTATTTCATTTAACTTTTTTTAAAATAAATTTTCATCTAACTTTTTTTTATTTCCGCATGTGTGCGAGTTTTGGATCGCTGTTAAAAAGATAACGGCCACTTAACAGAATTTCTAATCGTCATTAGCACCTACATCTAAATCTGCCTAGCACGAAGAATCAGAACTCGAGTATATTATTTTATCTTCGAGAATGATGGATAAAACAAATTTATTTACAACTAGTATTTTAACTCGTATAATGCACAAGCGGACCGAAATTTTGTTATATCCCAATCTTAACATCTCTATCACATCATACGTTTTTACTATTAATCTACCCATCATATCTTATTTTTGTTCATCACATTAAGCATATTTTTGAAAAGTCAATACAAAATATTCTTCCTTAAATTTTCAAAATGTCAAAATGAGAACATCTTTGTGGGGAACGGAAGAAGTATTTAATTGGGTCATACAAAAAATGTCGCGCTTATTTTATTTGAGAATTTTCATTCTTTTTGCCTATCTAGAGATATTTTTTTTATTTTTCCAATTTGTACTCCACAATATAACTATACAAATGCATCATGGGCTTTGGTGTGGTCATAATCAAGCCCAAGAGCGTAGCCCACTTTGTAAACCTCTTTCCCCGGCCTCCCTCTCTATATAAAGCCCACCACTCTTCCACACCACAACGCCATCTCTCTCTCTCTCTATCTATCTATCTAGACCTCTAACTCAAATGGAGGAGAATGAAAAGATGACGACGACCCTGCAGAAAGCAATGCTTCTTACACGAGGTATATGTTTATACGGACTATATCTTTTGGAAATTATTATTATTATTTTTAAACTGATTTGATTGATTGTTGGGAATCATGAAATGATATGATCGGATCCGATTTGATGATGATGCAGGTAATACTGGAGCTTTTGAAAAAGAAGAAGACGACTATGACGACTCTGGCATCATGGAAACTGATCGAACCGGCTGTTCCTTGGCCCCTTCCACCCTCAAATTTGATGCATTTTTGCATTAACTCGGTGCTACCCTGATTGAGCTTTCAAATTTTTTTCTAATTTTTTTATTTTTATTTCTCTTTGCTTTTATATTTAAGTTTTCTTGACCTTGTAAGACCTTTTCTTGACCTTGTAAGACCCACCATTTCTTTTTTTGTTTTCATTTTATGTTCGGTGGGTGACATTGTCTCCTTCCAAACGCAAGAATGTCTCCTCTCCAAATCGTGTTCTCCTTCCTTGTCTATCCCTCATGAGCTGCTGCGGCAACAAAGTTTTTTGGGTTAGCGATTTGCTTAGCCTCGAGACCTTATTTACCTTTGTTTCAATGAATATTAGCCGTACGTGTATAATAATCAAATTTATCATATATATATATATGTAAATTGTAAAATAAAAGTTTGGTTGTATTACTGGTGTTGTGTATGTAATGAATGCAACGGCTATGGTACGGTGATTGCTTAGTGGTCTCTTCTCCCTCGTTTTTACTTTTGCACCACAATCATATACTTCCTCCGTCCCAAAAAGAATTTATTATTTTGATTAACGTATAAAATCTCGTGAATTTTAAAATGATTTTATTTGCAAATTGGTAAGGAAATACTCCCTCCGTCCCTGAGTGTTTGTCCACTTTCATTTTTGCACACCATCCAATGTACTTCTTTAATCCATTTTATCTTGTAATTTGTATATTAAAAAATTATAAAAATTATACTCCCTCCGTCCCAAAAAGTTTGTTACGTTTAGAAAAAACCGCGTCCCGTAAAGTCCGTTACATTTCTATCAAAAAACCACTTTTACCCTCTACTTTTTCATACCCTACCTATCACATCATACCTTTTTTCTAATAATCTACCCATCACATCCTATTTTTACCCATCACATCAAGGGTATTTTTGGAAAGTCAATACCAAAATATCCCTCTCTTAATTTCCCAAAAAGTCAAACTGTCCCATTCTTTTTGGGACGGAGGGAGTATATTAATAATCTATATGTTAAGACGAATCAAACAAGATCACACATGACTATTTTTAGGCTTACACATTGAGAGAATTTGATGAGTCAAAGTGCTTAGATGAACAGTTCCAAAAGTCAAAAGTGGACAAACACTCGGGGACGGACTAAGTAATACATAAGAAAATTATATTTAAAAACTACATCGAAAACTCTACAAAATAAAAGGTGACAATAGAATTTTATTTTATCAAATGATCAATGAAAACACACAAATAAATAAGACTTATCGAGAGGCCATAATAGTAAACATGAAAAAAATTTTGGGGCGGAGGAAGTATATTTCTTACCGTACGAGGTATGTTTTAATCACTCCCTCCCCTAGTAACACGAAAATTATGAAATACGGAGTATAAAGTTTAAAAAAAAATGGAGAATACGGACAAATTAAATACATTTAATCAAATAAAGTACTCCGTGTTTAAGATAAAAAATAGTGGACAAACAAAAATAAAGGAAAAAAAACCATTTTATGGCCCAACCTCATAAGTTTTTTGGTTCACACAATTGAAAAAGACATTTGCTTTGTTGTGATAATGTGAACAAAGAATGGAGATGGGCAGTTGGCAATGTTGACAGGGTGTTTGGCACTCATAAAACTATAAAAGTCCTTTTCATTCATTAATTTTCAAAAATTAAATTTTAACTACTGAATATTGTTATATAAATTTTAAAACTTTATAAAATTATAGTGTGTTTTTTAATATAAGAACAGAACAAATATATGAAAGTAAAATTACAAAAAAAAATAAAAAAATATCTTTGAGACTTGGCTCAAAGTTAGTTGAGGAAATATATGACTGCGGCCTTCAATTTACATGCAAAAGAAACTCATTTGGAAGATATGTTTCGGGTTCGAACATGAATGAACTTTCCCATTAATCCCGAGAAGTAGGCTTGCTAGCACTCAAGCCAGGAGAAAAGCTGAAGATATGTTTGTCTATATTCTTAACTAATGTGAATCTGATTGCAATTTAAATTTTTTTTCTTATTATTAGATCTATTAGAGCGCTCTAAATTTTGACAGACTATTAAAATCTCTGTTAGGCAGGTGAAAAAAGTAGCTCAAATTTTCTGTCCACAAAAATGATATACATCCTGAGTGCACCATATAAA